GCTTTCCGTCTTGCTGGCTTTCCGTCTTGCTGGCTTTCCGTCCTTGCTGGCTTTCCGTCTTGCTGGCTTTCCGTCTTGCTGGCTTTCTCTTGCTGCTTTCCGTATTGCTGGCTTTCCGTCTTGCTGCTTTCCGTCTTGCTGGCTTTCCGTCTTGCTGGCTTTCGTCTTGCTGGCTTTCCGTCTTGCTGGCTTTCCGTCTTGCTGGCTTTCCGTCTTGCTGGCTTTCCGTCTTGCTGGCTTTCCGCCTTGCTGGCTTTCCGTCTTGCTGGCTTTCCCGTCCTTGCTGGCTTTTCCGTCTTGCTGGCTTTCCGTCTTGCTGGCTTTCAGTCTTGCTGGCTTTCCGTCTTGCTGGCTTTCCGTCTTGCTGGCTTTCCGCCTTGCTGGCTTTCCGTCTTGCTGGCTTTCTTCCGTCTTGCGGCTTTCCGTCTTGCTGGCTTTCCGCCTTGCTGCGTTTCCGTCTTGCTGGCTTTCCGTCTTGCTGGCTTTCCGTCTTGCTGCTTTCCGCCTTGCTGGCTTCTCCGTCTTGCTGGCTTTCCGTCTTGCTGGCTTTCCGTCTTGCTGGCTTTCCGTCTTGCTGGCTTTCCGTCTTGCTGGCTTTCCGCCTTGCTGGCTTTCCGTCTTGCTGGCTTTCCGTCTTGCTGGCTTTCCGTCTTGCTGGCTTCCGTCTTGCTGGCTTTCCGTCTTGCTGGCTTTTCCGTCTTGCTGGCTTTCCGTCTTGCTGGCTTTCCGTCTTGCTGGCTTTCCGTCTTGCTGGCTTTCCGCCTTGCTGGCTTTCCGTCTTGCTGGCTTTCCGACTTGCTGGCTTTCCGTCTTGCTGGCTTTTCGCCTTGCTGCTTTCCGTCTTGCTGGCTTTCCGTCTTGCTGGCTTTCCGTCTTGCTGGCTTTCCGTCTTGCTGGCTTTCCGTCTTGCTGGCTTTCCGTCTTGCTGGCTTTCCGTCTTGCTGGCTTTCCGTCTTGCTGGCTTTCCGTCTTGCTGGCTTTCCGTCTTGCTGGCTTTCCGTTGGGCTTTTGCTGTGCTTTCCGTCTTGCTGGCTTTTCCCGTCTTGCTGGCTTTCCGTCTTGCTGGCTTTCCGTCTTGCTGGCTTTCCGTCTTGCTGGCTTTCCGTCTTGCTGTGGCTTTCCGTCGTTGCTTGGACTTTCCGTCTTGCTGGGCTTTCCGTCTTGCTGGCTTTCCGTCTTGCTGGCTTTCCGTCTTGCTGGCTTTCCCGCTTGCTGGCTTTCCGTCTTGCTGGCTTTCCGCCTTGCTGGCTTTCCGTCCTTGCTGGCTTTCCGTCTTGCTGGCTTTCCGTCTTGCTGGCTTTCCGTCTTGCTGCTTTCGTCTTGCTGGCTTTCCGGCTTGCTGCTTTCCGTCTTGCTGGCTTTCCGTCTTGCTGGCTTTCCGTCTTGCTGGCTTTCCGTCTTGCTGGCTTCACGTCTTGCTGGCTTTCCGTCTTGCTGGCTTTCCGTCTTGCTGGCTTTCCGTCTTGCTGGCTTTCCGTCTTGCTGGCTTTCCGTCTTGCTGGCTTTCCGTCTTGCTGGCTTTCCGTCTTGCTGCTTTTCCGCCCTTGCTGCTTCGTCTTGCTGGCTTTCCGTCTTGCTGGCTTTCCGTCTTGCTGGCTTTCAGTCTTGCTGGCTTTCCCGTCTTGCTGGCTTTCCCGTCTTGCTGGCTTTCCGCCTTGCTGGCTTTCCGTCGTGCTGGCTTTTCCGTCTTGCTGCTTTCCGTCTTGCTGGCTTTCCGTCTTGCTGCTTTCCGCCTTGCTGGCTTTCCGTCTTGCTGGCTTTCCGTCTTGCTGGCTTTCCGTCTTGCTGGCTTTCAGTCTTGCTGGCTTTCCGTCTTGCTGGCTTTCCGTCTTGCTGGCTTTCCGCCTTGATGGCTTTCCGTCTTGCTGGCTTTCCCGTCTTGCTGCTTCCGTCTTGCTGGCTTTCCGTCTTGCTGGCTTTCCGCCTTGCTGGCTTTCGTCTTGCTGGGCTTTCCGTCTTGCTGGCTTTCCGTCTTGCTGCTTTCAGTCTTGCTGGCTTTCCGCCCTTGCTGGCTTTCAGTCTTGCTGGCTTTCCGTCTTGCTGGCTTTCCGTCTTGCTGGCTTTCCGTCTTGCTGGCTTTCCGTCTTGCTGGCTTTCCGCCTTGCTGGCTTTCCGTCCTGCTGGCTTTCCGTCTTGCTGGCTTTCCGTCTTGCTGGCTTTCCGTCTTGCTGGCTTTCCGTCTTGCTGGCTTTCCGTCTTGCTGGCTTTCCGTCTTGCTGGCTTTCCGTCTTGCTGGCTTTCCGTCTTGCTGGCTTTTCGTCTTGCTGGCTTCCTGTCTTGCTGGCTTTCCGTCTTGCTGGCTTTCCGTCTTGCTGGCTTTCCGTCTTGCTGGCTTTCCGTCTTGCTGGCTTTCCGTCTTGCTGGCTTTCCGTCTTGCTGGCTTTCCGCCTTGCTGGCTTTCCGTCTTGCTGGCTTTCCGTCTTGCTGGCTTTCCGCCTTGCTGGCTTTCCGTCTTGCTGGCTTTCCGTCTTGCTGGCTTTCCGTCTTGCTGGCTTTCCGTCTTGCTGGCTTTCCGTCTTGCTGGCTTTCCGTCTTGCTGGCTTTCCGTCTTGCTGGCGTTTCCGTCTTGCTGGCTTTCCGTCTTGCTGGCTTTCCGTCTTGCTGCTTTCCGTCTTGCTGGCTTTCCGTCTTGCTGGCTTTCCGTCTTGCTGGCTTTCCGTCTTGCTGGCTTTCCGCCTTGCTGGCTTTCCGTCTTGCTGGCTTTCGTCTTGCTGGCTTTCCGTCTTGATGGCTTTCCGCCTTGCTGGCTTTCAGTCTTGCTGGCTTTCCGTCTTGCTGGCTTTCCGTCTTGCTGGCTTTCCCGCCTTGCTGGCTTTCCGTCTTGCTGGCTTTCCGTCTTGCTGGGCTTGTCCGTCTTTGCTGGCTTTCCGTCTTGCTGGCTTTCCGTCTTGCTGGCTTTCCCGTCTTGCTGGCTTTCCGTCTTGCTGGCTTTCCCGTCTTGCTGGCTTTCCGTCTTGCTGGCTTTCCGCCTTCTGGCTTTCCGTCTTGCTGCTTTCCGCCTTGCTGGCTTTCCGTCTTGCTGGCTTTCCGTCTTGCTGGCTTTCCGCCTTGCTGGCTTTCCGTCTTGCTGGCTTTCCGTCTTGCTGGCTTTCCGTCTTGCTGGCTTTCCGTCTTGCTGGCTTTCCGTCTTGCTGGCTTTCCGTCTTGCTGGCTTTCCGTCTTGCTGGCTTTCCGTCTTGCTGGCTTTCCGTCTTGCTGGCTTTCCGTCTTGCTGGCTTTCCGTCTTGCTGGCTTTCCGCCTTGCTGGCTTTCCGTCCTGCTGGCTTTCCGTCTTGCTGGCTTTCCGTCTTGCTGGCTTTCCGTCTTGCTGGCTTTCCGTCTTGCTGGCTTTCCGTCTTGCTGGCTTTCCGTCTTGCTGGCTTTCCGCCTTGCTGGCTTTCCGTCTTGCTGGCTTTCCGTCTTGCTGGCTTTCCGTCTTGCTGGCTTTCCGCCTTGCTGGCTTTCAGTCTTGCTGGCTTTCCGTCTTGCTGGCTTTCCGTCTTGCTGGCTTTCCGCCTTGCTGGCTTTCCGTCTTGCTGGCTTTCCGTCTTGCTGGCTTTCCGTCTTGCTGGCTTTCCGTCTTGCTGGCTTTCCGTCTTGCTGGCTTTCCGTCTTGCTGGCTTTCCGTCTGCTGGCTTTCCGTCTTGCTGCTTTCCGTCTTGCTGGCTTTCAGTCTTGCTGGCTTTCGTCTGCTGGCTTTCCGTCTTGCTGGCTTTCCGCCTTGCTGGCTTTCCGTCTTGCTGGCTTTCCGTCTTGCTGGCTTTCCGTCTTGCTGGCTTTCCGTCTTGCTGGCTTTCCGTCTTGCTGGCTTTCCGTCTTGCTGGCTTTCGTCTTGCTGGCTTTTCCGTCTTGCTGGCTTTCCCGTCTTGCTGGCTTTCCGTCTTGCTGGCTTTCCGTCTTGCTTGGCTTTCCGTCTTGCTGGCTTTCCGTCTTGCTGGCTTTCCGTCTTGCTGGCTTTCGCCTCTGCTGGCTTTCCCGTCTTGCTGGCTTTGCGCCTTGCTGGCTTTCCGTCTTGCTGGCTTTCCGTCTTGCTGGCTTTCCGTCTTGCTGGCTTTCCGTCTTGCTGGCTTTCCGTCTTGCTGGGCTTTCACGTCTTGCTGGCTTCCCTTCTTGCTGCTTTCCGTCTTGCTGGCTTTTCCGTCTTGCTGGCTTTCCCGCCTTGCTGGCTTCCCTGTCTTGCTGGCTTTGCGCCTTGCTGGCTTTCCGTCTTGCTGGCTTTCCGTCTTGCTGGCTTCCGTCTTGCTGGCTTTCCGTCTTGCTGGCTTCCGTCTTGCTGGCTTTCCGTCTTGCTGGCTTCCCGTCTTGCTGGCTTTCCGTCTTGCTGGCTTCCGTCTTGCTGGCTTTCCGTCTTGCTGGCTTCCCGTCTTGCTGGCTTTTCGCCTTGCTGGCTTTCCTTCTTGCTGGCTTTCCGCCTTGCTGGCTTTCCGTCTTGCTGGCTTTCCGTCTTGCTGGCTTTCCGTCTTGCTGGCTTTCCGTCTTGCTGGCTTTCCGTCTTGCTGGCTTTCCGTCTTGCTGGCTTTCCGCCTTGCTGGCTTTTCCGTGTCTTGCTGGCCTTTCCGTCTTGCTGGCTTTCCGTCTTGCTGGCTTTCCGTCTTGCTGCGTCTTGCTGGCTTTCCGTCTTGCTGGCTTTCCGTCTTGCTGGCTTTTTCCGTCTTGCTGGCTTTCCGTCTTGGCTAGCTTTTCGTCTTGCTGGCTTTCCGTCTTGCTGGCTTTCCGCCTTGCTGGCTTTCCGTCTTGCTGGCTTTCCGCCTTGCTGGCTTTCCGTCTTGCTGGCTTTCCGTCTTGCTGGCTTTCCGTCTTGCTGGCTTTCCGTCTTGCTGGCTTTCCGTCTTGCTGGCTTTTCGTCTTGCTGGCTTTCCGTCTTGCTGGCTTTCCGCCTTGCTGGCTTTCCGTCTTGCTGGCTTTCCGCCTTGCTGGCTTTCCGTCTTGCTGGCTTTCCGTCTTGCTGGCTTTCCGTCTTGCTGGCTTTCCGCCTTGCTGGCTTTCCGTCTTGCCGCGTTCCTTCTCTTTCCGTTGTTCTCATGGCTCTCCTCACCCATTTATTCCCCAACCCCTCCCCCTCTTCCTCCCTCCCTCCCTTCCTAGAACCGTGACACCTCTTCCCACCTCACAGCACCACCCCCAACCAGTCCTACCACCACCTGCACTGCCACACTGGTTCGAGATCTCTTCTCCTTGCACCTGACGTCTGAGGGCCTCCCACCCTCCATTGCTGCACAGGAATGTATGCTCCCCCTCTCCCAAACGATCCGCTGTACTGATTCAGCAGGGGTACAGACAAGCAGTTTTATCCATAATAACCTGAATCCCTTAAGCCCTATAACCCACCCCTCTTCTCCCCCTCTCCCCCCCCCCCCCCCTTAGTGACCCTCTAACCCTTCAGCGTGTGGAGAATGTCCCCCAAATGCAGCGGCCATGGGTGCGCTGCCTCAATCCCAGCCCTGGCCTTGGTGTGAGAGGGAAAGGGAGAGGGAGAGGCTAAGGGGAATTATTCCTCTCTCCAAATGAAATTTTGGAATCACCAAGGGGGCTAAGTCCCCTTTCTCTCACACTCTCCCTTTTCCTCTCCCTCTCCCTCAGCCTTTTCTTTCCTTTGCCCCCCTCTCCCCTCCCTCCCTCTAGTTCTCTCTCACTCCTCTAACCCCCCTGCACCTGCTCTCCCCCCTCACTCCACACCTCTTTTCGTTCTCCCCACTCACGCCGTCCTCAACCCCTCGGTTCTCCTCTGTCAAAACGTGCCTTCCACAGAGGTAGCTTGCCCCAGACAGAGAAATCGAGCTGTGTTTTGAGTCGGACTCAATCAATACTCGATAGTGGTAGCTTGCTAGCTCCTCCCAGAGACATCGAGCTGTGCAAGGGGTTGGGTGAAGGGTCTTGGAGTCGACTCAATCCTCTTGCAGACAAATCAGACAAGACTCACTAAACTCAACAAGACCAGCTAAACTCAACAAGACCAGCTAAACTCAACAAGACCAGCTAAACTCAACAAGACCAGCTAAACTCAACAAGACCAGCTAAACTCAACAAGACCAGCTAAACTCAACAAGACCAGCTAAACTCAACAAGACCAGCTAAACTCAACAAGACCAGCTAAACTCAACAAGACCAGCTAAACGCAACAAGACCAGCTAAACGCAACAAGACCAGCTAAACGCAACAAGACCAGCTAAACGCAACAAGACCAGCTAAACGCAACAAGACCAGCTAAACGCAACAAGACCAGCTAAACGCAACAAGACCAGCTAAACTCAACAAGACCAGCTAAACTCAACAAGACCAGCTAAACTCAACAAGACCAGCTAAACTCAACAAGACCAGCTAAACTCAACAAGACCAGCTAAACTCAACAAGACCAGCTAAACTCAACAAGACCAGCTAAACTGAACAAGACCGTAGCAAAGTCAGAGTCATGAACTGAACTCGTACTTCCCCCAACGTTTTTCCCCGTAAACCCCCCTCCCCCCTCTTCCTCCCTTCTATTCAACCGTCCCCTCCACAACTGCCCCCTAGGTGGCTGGCCGCATGCGTCCGTCGCACCGCACATCCTCCCTCACTCCATACATCCCCTCCACATCCGCATGCATCCCTTTCATTAATCCCTTCCAACTCCCCCTCTGCCCCCAACTACCACCCTCTCCCAAACCCTCCAGGTGGCGGGCAGCATGCCGCGCACCATCCACTTGCTCCTAGCAGAGGTGCGACGCTGCGACTGGGTGTCGTACCGCCTCAACCTGCCCATGGCTGCGTCCCTGTCCTCGTTAGTGGCGGACTCGCTGCAGGTGCAGGGGCTGCCTCGGATCGTGGTCATGCTTGTTAGCATGGGCTTGCAGGTGAGCCACGTGCATGTTCTTGCATATGCACATGCAGATGTGTACATACACACGCGCATGCACATGAGCATGCACATGTACAAGCACAGGTGCGCGAATGCGCACGCGCGCGCGCGCGCACACACACACACACACATTCTCACATGCACACATCAGATCAAAACCTTTCTGCACCCTTGCACCTCTACCCACAGATTCGTTGCAACTCAATGGTGTTTGAGGCGCCTCAGAACGTCTCATCTCACGCGTACTCACACACTCACACGCACTCATCGCACTTCTTGAGCCCACTTCTGGGTAGTATTTTCACCGCAAAATTGCGCAACTCTATGGTTCACACTCTCCTTCCCACTTCTTGCCCCTCCCATTCTCCCTCCATCCCCCTTCCATCCCCTTCCCACCCCTTCTCATTCCCCTCCCACAACCAGCAGCGGTGGCCTCCCTACTAGAGCGACGGCAGGTATCTCTGTCGGAACTGCAGCCATCACACCTCTCCTTCTCACCCCCTCTCTCCCTTTCCTGCCACTCCCATTCCCCTCTCACAGCCAGCAGCAGTGGCGTCCCTACTGGAGCGGCGCCAGGTGTCCCTATCAGAGCTGGTGGCAAATCTACAGTTCCTGCAAACCTTTCTCTCGCTCCTCTCCCACTCCCCTCCCATCCCCCTCTCACAGCCAGCAGCAGTGGCGTCCCTACTGGAGCGACGGCAGGTATCTCTCTCAGAGCTGGTGGCGAAGCTGCAGTTCCTGCAGAGCATTGGAGTGCGCCCGTGCTTCTTGGGAGCCGTCCTCGTGGGCTGCCCCCGCTTCCTCGACATGCCGCTCGCACTGCTGCACACCCATGCCACGCATCTCATGGCGCACTGCTGCACCGTCAGTCTCGCAGCCGCTCTCTCACTCTGTCATCTTCCCTTCTTCTCTTTTTGTTTCTATTTCTGTCTTTGTTTCTTTCTTTTATCAGGATATCAGATGCCATTCTAATGCCATTTCCGTCCTACCACCACTGGATTCCCTTGACACCCTCCTGATGGCCTACCGCACTTTCCCTCCTCCGACCCGTCCATCTCATCTCCTCTCATCGGACTCACACTCACTCGCTCGTTCAACCACTCAATTACTCGCCCACTCTCTCGTTTTCTTACTCACTCACCTTGTTTGTTAATGTTGCCAGATGAGGCAATTCGCTGAAAGGCTCACAAAATGTGCTACTTGCTCGCCCCCATCACCCTCTCACATCGTCAAACCCTCTCCCACTTTCCAAATTCCCAACCGCACGCCTTGTCCTTATGCTGTTTGCCCTCAGGGAGTGGACATCGGGAAGGTGGTGTAGGTGTCTCCTCCAGTCCTCGGCAAGGCAGTGCATGTGGGTAGAATCGACTCAAGAGCCGCCTCCCCCTCCCCACTGCCCACTGCCCACCCTGTCCTTATGTTGTGTGGCAATGTCTGATCCTATCAAGGCGTGGACATTGGCAAGGTGGTGGAGGTATATCCTCCAGTCCTCGGCAAGGCAGTGCATGTGGGTGATGCATTGGCATGTGGGTGATGCATTGGCATGTGGGTGATGCATTGGCATGTGGGTGATGCATTGGCATGTGGGTGATGCATTGGCATGTGGGTGATGCATTGGCATGTGGGTGATGCATTGGCATGTGGGTGATGCGTTGGCATGTGGGTGACTTTTGAGACGTCGCAAAAGCTTGGCAATCTCTAGAGTGATTCTTTGACATCAGGGAGTGGGCATTGGCAAGGTTCTGGAGGTTTACCCTCCAGTCCTCAGCAAGGCAGTCAGTACATGTGCGCACTGCAGCATGTCTTAACTGTACTACCTTCTGTGCTTAGATGGATGAAATCGCACATGCCAGCATACCACCATGCCACCATGTGTACATACGTGTTCAATGAAAGCACCTGCCATGCCATGCCATGTCATTTCACACCTGAATACCACAACCCGCGTGTGATGAGTCGGTTTTTGAGTCGACTCGAATACCACAACCTGCCACGCAGCTCCCTCTTCCCGCTTTATGTACTTACTCTCCATCTCATGCTGCCCTTGCCCTTGCCCTTGACCCATTTCCCACTTTCCCCTGCCCACCTCCTCCCCTCTCCCCAACCTTCCTGTCTCCCCCTTCTCCCTCGCTTCCAACCCTCCTCTTCTCCTCGCTCTCTCCCTCCCCCTTTCACTATCTTCCCCCTCCCTCCTTACCCTCTCTGTATTTCTCTTGTCCCTTACCCAGTCCTCTTCTCCTTCCCCTCCATACTCCCCTTCTTCCCATCCCCCTTCTCACCCTCCTCTTCCAGCCATCGCCTCCCAAATCAACAATGTATCACCACTACTTGTCCTCTTCTCGTTCCTACCCACGTCTTCAACCCCACCCCACCCCACTCCTCTCTAGGCAAGCGTCATCCCACTCACATCTTTCCTCCGCCACCACCTCAACATCCCCTCCACCGTCATCCCTCGCATTGTGCGCGGGTACCCGAAGCTGCTCGGCTGCTCCCTGCAAACCAACCTGTGGCCCAAGGTGCTTGCGCTCTGCTCTGCCCTCCCCGGCCTCACACCGCCCCTGCTCGGCACCATGCTGCGCCGATGCCCCTCGCTGCTCGCCTGCAGGTTAGTCCTGCATTCCTCTTTCTCGTTCTCTTCCAATATCCCGCTCGCTCGTTTTTGTCACCTTCCCGCTCTTTATTTCTTGTTTTTCTTTTGCCCAACGTCGTCCCGTTCATGTCTCCCATTTCTCTCCCCCTTGCGCCCTCATTGCAGCATGGCAGGGAAGCTGCTGCCTGCCATTGAATTCCTCTCCACACATCTGCTTCTCTCACCATCACAGCTGCTCAAACTGGTCTCCTCAGCACCACAGGTAGAACTTGCAATAATGGACCCCCACCCACCCAGGCTTTTTTTTGGCTCGACTGAAAGGTTCTCTTCTTGAGGTGCCCATCATATGCCTCTCTTCAGCTGCCTCTGATAAGCCTGAGAATCTGTCAGTATCATCGTCCCAGCACTGATTCCCTGTCATGCCATCCCATGCTGTGCCATGCTGTGCCATGCTGTGTACCAAGTGCACAGCTCTTGAAAGGAGTAGGCCTTCCTCGAACTGGGGGGCAAAACCACCAGAGCGTATAGCTTGAACCACCGATCCACAGTCACATCAATTCACGGACCACTTGAGGCAGGGACACATCAACCCACCTTGTGTAGTTTGCTCTTACGGGACCTCTTGAAAAGGGGAAAAATTGTGTCACCGCTTCATCATTGCATCGCATTATGAAATCTCTCATGATGCGTACTACCATTCTTCTAACCACCACCTTTACCACCGCCCCACATCTCACCACCACCTTCGCCACCCACGCCACCCTTCCCCTGGTTTCAGCCCACTCATTTCCACGCACACTGCACCCGAAGCTTCTCTTCCTCTCCTCAGTTGCCACCCCAGGCAGTGAGGCTGACTGCACGTTGGCAGCAGTCAGTGAGGCTGACTGCAGATTGGCAGCAGTCAGTGAGGCTGACTGCACATTGGCAGTGGCCCCCATGCTGCTGCGGAAATCTCTTTTCGCGCCTTAAGAGGCAGCTCAAATCCAACCCTAAATCGCCACACCCCCCCTCCCCACAGGTGCAAACACAGTCAGTGCCACACACACTGCATCCCAAGCTGCTCTTCCTCTCGCACACTGTGGGTACGACCCGACAGCAGCAGGCAGCCACACTGCTGGCTGAATATTCAATCCGTGCCTCAGAATCAACTTAGATCCAACCATTCCCCGCCACACCCTTCCTTCCCAGGTGCTAACCCAGTCAGTACCGCACACGCTGCATCCAAAACTCCTCTTCCTCTCACACACTGTGGGGCTGACCCCACAGCAGCAGGCGGCCATGCTGCCACGGCAGCCCAACGTGCTGTGCCTGTCGCTGCCCCTGCTGCACCGCAACCACTCCTCCCTGCGCGCGTCGGGGTTCTCACTCGAAGACATTCGCCGCATGCTCGTGCTCTTTCCCACGCTGCTGCTGCTCAGGTCGGGGGAGGAGGGGGGGGTGCATGTACGCCTGGGTGGGGCGTGTGTAGGTGTGGGTCAGAAGATCATAGAGAAGAAGATGCGGTCAGAGGATCATAGAGAGTGGCATTGGAGGGTGCAAGTTGGCTGGGTTAGCTTGGAAACGGTGAACCGGCCTCAATTGGGAATGGAAGGGGAGCAAAAAGGGATCTGAGAAGTAAGGCGCCTAAAAAAAAAAAAAAAAAAAAAAAAGAGGCGAGTGAAGGCACCTCAAAACTGGCCTTAAGTGGGTCTGGAGTGGGAGCAGAAGGTGAGATCTTGGTGCGTCTCCCTCTCCTGTCATGGCACACCATTTCGGGTCGATTTACTTTTCAAGCTCCTTCCTCCTCCCTCCTCTCCCTGCCTCCATTTCTCCCTTCCTTCTTGCCCTTTCCGATCCACGCCCCACCCTCACCAGTCCCGACAACATCCAAGCCAAGTGCGCCTTCCTCACAGGGCCCATGGGCCGTCCCCTTGCACACGCCGCCGCCTTCCCCCACTTCTTCGGCTACAGCCTGCACCGCCGCATCGAGCCCCGCTACAGCCGCCTGCAGGCTCTAGGCGTCTCCCCGCCCCCCTCCCTCGCTTCCATGCTCTGCTCTACCGACCAGGCGTTTCAATCCAAGTGGGCTGTATCAGCGGAGGGGGATAGCACGGGGGAGGTTTTTGAGAGTTCTCAAAGCAAGAGGGCAGTAGTGGGGGAGAGGGAAAGGAGAGGAGAAGGGCGAAGGGATAAGGGGGGGGTTTGGGAGTCTGGGGTTTGGGGATAAGGGATAAGTGGGGAGAGAGGGTAGGGGAGTCTGGGGAGGAGGGTAGAGGAACGGAGAAGGAAGGAGTTGGATGGGGTCAAAGGGATCAATCAAGTCATGGAGGTCAAGGAGTTAGGAAAAGGGGTTCTGGAATAGATTGTACTGCACTGCTGCTGCTGCTTCTTGCTTCTTCCACTGCATCGGTCCTGTCCTTTATGGGAGGCTGCAGCATTTGAAACAGTACAGGGTGCCGAGGGCAGTGTTGAAAAGACGTACTCCTGCTGCTGCTGCTGCTGCTGCCGCCGAGTGTTTTCTTTTGTGTAGTTGCCGCAGCATCAACGATTCAACGCATGACTTGCATGTTGTTATAATAAGCCGTCTCTGGAAGTGTTACATAGCTGGTAGTACTAAATTTTCCATCTTGAGAAAGCTTGATTTCGGTCTCTTGCTTGCTAGGTAAAATGCTTCATTTCCTATTGAGCAATTGCAACATTCTCATCTAGGTATGGTACCGACTACATTGCAGAACCAACTAGATGGGTGAGTGAAGATTGGAACTCTGAAGTTCAGAAACACGTACCGTAGGTGGAGACCAAGTGACCTCCAATCCAACCAAGGGCTTTGATTTGTTATACAGTTGTCCAATTTGCCAGGGCCGTCTGATGTCGATTGGAATCTGAAACTTTGTTGAGTAATTCATCGACAAAAGGTGATATATAATCCCATGGTTCTATAATAATTTTATTGGAGAATTGAAAAATATCTGTAAAAAGTACACAATGTATCAACATTCGTAACTGCATTATTGATTCTTAGACGACGTCTTGCCCAATCGCCCGCTCAAGTCCCCTCGCCCATAATGCAAAATGAGCACACCAATGAGCAATAGCGAATCAAATAGGTTGCAGCCAATGGGCGCGTCCCCTAGGTCACCCAAAGTCCGAGCCCTCGCCTGCCAAGTGAACTTATGACTGCATTATTGAACTTCTTATCGGAAGCCAATGAACGAGCACTTCTGAAGGCGTTCGTCTTATTCCGAGAGATTTGCTCCAGACCCGTGTTTGGTGATTCGCCGTTGCCCACGTGGCCTCGAATTGCTCGCGTAGTCATTCAATTCAATGATAATTGCTCGAGTGGTCTTGCCAGAGGTTTCCTGCAGCATTTCTTTTACCCGGCACATTACCCCGGAAGGGTTTTTAGCCTCGAAATTCTTACATCGATCGTGTCTCTTCCCGCTGGATTCTGAACGCGGGCAAAACAAAACTAAAACCCACTCGGAAGGCATGCCATTCGGGAAGCATCAACCCTAAAATTTTAGGGTTGATGTCTCCCGAATGGCATGCCGTTCGCGACGGATTTTAGTTTTTTCAGGGCTAAAAACCCTTCTCAGGTAATGTGTACGGTAAAAAAAAGGCTGCGGGAATCCTCTGGCAAGGCCACTCGAGCAATTATCGTGCAATTGTAGGACCACGCGAGCAAATTGAGGCTACGTGTGCAACGCCGAATCTTCAAACATGGGTTTGGAGCAATTCTCTCTCTTGTTCCGCTTGACCATCTTGCGACCGCCGGTCCTGCATCATCCCGAGCCGCAATGTCTGAGTTCGGATGGAATGGAATATAAATTGGAGCGAATTTGTACATTCTAAATCAGCCTTCTCCCAAACACGTCCTTTGTCATTGCAGCTACTACTAGTACTAGGCCTGTAAGCTTATCTTAGCGCTACTAGTTCCTTTGGTACGGTTCATCCTATCTTACTCTTCAAAAGACCCTTTGAAGTATTAGCAACACCAACATCCGACCGTGCCCGCCTCCACCACGATGGCGAATTACAAGACTCTCCTGACGCTCTTTATTTCGTTCACCATCATCGGTAAGCACCTCCTATACTTTTGTGGAACGAAATTTTGGGAGCCGTTCGAAACGCAATGTGTTGCATGTTTATTCATTGTACTAACTACAGCTGCGCGGTCTTGTCGTCTCGTTTTGATATCGCAGCATGCAGTCTCCAATCTATGGCGGCCGATAGCACGCGCTCAATCAACTTCAGGCCCAGCGCAAACTTCAAGTTGTCCCCGCTGATAATGTCCCCGCTGATAATGTCCCCGCTGATAATGTCCCCGCTGATAATGTCCCCGCTGATAAGGTTCCCGCTGATAATGTCCCCGCTGATAAGGTCCCCGCTGATAATGTCCCCGCTGATAATGTCCCCGCTGATAATGTCCCCGCTGATGACCCTGCTGACGACACCACGGATGACGCCACGGATGACACCACTGATGACACCACTGATGACACTGAATATGACACTGAATATGATTATACTGATCCTAAGGTGACCACGATGGTGACCGTCGGCGGCTCGTCGTACACGTTCGATACGTTTGATCTTTGCTTTAACCTCAAGGCCAAGAACGGGCGCGGCACAAGAGCGACGCGCTCTGCGCAGATCGCGACGGTGTGGTGGAACGGAAAGGCGAATCTCCTTGCCAACGTGATGAAGGCCCTCTGCGGTGGCAAGGGCGGCAAGCCGAGGAAAGGCGCGAGTGCCGCCGCGCCGACCGTCGCATGCAAGGAGGTGCTATTCTTCTCAGAGACCGGCTGCGGCGACGAAATTGACGAAATGACCAAGCCCAAGGCCAACCCTATCCGCAAATTCTTCGGCCTCTCCAAATTTACGTAAGCCCTCCGCCCAGCCCTGCTGCTGCTCCCTGCTGTTCCGCGCGGCTCGCCGCTGCTTCCTGCTGCTCCCTGCTACTTCTGCTCATTCCTGCAGCTTCGTGATGCTTCCTTATTCTTGCCATGGGGCTTAACCCTTGCCACGAGTCCCATAGTGCAGAATCTGCCTCTAGCTCAGAGCTACAGTCATTCTCCTAGCGAGAGTCTTGCTCATCACCCTATGCTGCTGTTTTATCCCCTCCCCTTCACCATGGGCAGCACCAAGAAGATCCCCAAGAATGTCAAGTCCGCCGCCTGCCTTCTCCCCTACTAGTAAGTATAATACTCCCCCCTCCCCTCCCCCTTGCCACGAGTCCCATAGTGCAGAAGCTGCCTCTCTCTCTCTCTCTCTCTCTCTCTCTCTCTCTCTCTCTCTCTCTCTCTCTCTCTCTCTCTCTCTCTCTCTCTCTCTCTCTCTCTCTCTCTCTCTTCCCTCCCCTCTCCCTGCATTTAGATACATCACACACACACACACACACACACACACACACACACACACACACACACACACACACACACACACACACACACACACACATTTTTACATTTTGCATGCATCTTAACACACCCTGTACACCCATGCGCCTGTCTCTTCTTCGAACCCAACCGTGCAGACCGTTGGGAAGGAGTACATGTGGACCTATTCTGCGAGATGTTCACGGTAGTGGCTATTGTAAATCGCCACAGCTTGCTTGTCCTCTCTTCCGTTCCAACTATTGCTAATGTCCTGGTTACCTCTTCTGGTGGGCTGGGCCTTGCTGGCTGTAAATGTTCTCTTTTTTGTATAACATATGTTGAATACATACGGCTGGGTTTCAAACGCTTTCCATGCATGTGCTTCTAGGTATGAGGGCTGTTGCCTCATGGGAATCGTCAATGTGGCTGACGTGCGCCTAGGCTGTGGTCTTAGAACAGCAAATAACGGCACGGCATTCATGCTCGACAATTTCAAGAGCAAGACACCAGAAGAGGGAGGACACAGAGTCCCAGCCTAGGGGAAGTCCTTTGTGCAACAACTCCGTTGCAAATACCTTCAGTCCAGTTTTCCTAACGTGCATCTGTTCAGCCTCAGCTACCTCATAAAGCCCAACGTTTATGTATTTTCCCAAGCCAACAAGAAATAGCCCCCCCTGATCATCCAAGGTCTCCCCTCTTCCCGTGCTTTTCCATTTGATCCAGTCCAGTAGCATCACGGTAGATGAACTCCGTTTTGAGTGACGCAAATATGAAAGAAGCGACTACCACTGTACAATATGCCGCTTGTACCGTACATATACATCATAACAAGCCCCTTTGTCTCCAGCTTGATTTTACAGGGAAAATGTCGAACCTAATCCTGATTCTGTGCCAGAAATAGCATCATAACTACTGCAGCTAGAACGCATGTACCTACAATGACCACCAAAACCACCATCACACCCACCTGCTGGTGCTGCTGCTGGTGGTGGTGGTGGTGGTGCTGCTGCCACCACTGGTGGTGGTGCCATTGCTGCTGCTACAGCCCCTGTCCTAAGTCCCCAATCCCCTCTCTGTGAACCTCCCCGAAACCTCAACTCCTTCACAAAAGCTTCTAGAATAAAAGCAACCACCACATTGAGCACAAACACCACAATTACCACGTAAAACAGCGCAAAATACACCGTGGCCTTCCACTGCTGCTCGGGCGGCAGCACTGCCGCAACCCCATCCATGATCACGTACCAGTTGTTCACAATTCACAGGTTGAAAGCCACGGCCATCGAAGCCGGAAAGTCGTTGAAATTGAGTGGGAGGAAGCCGGATTGAAAGTAGTCTGTGGTTTGAAGCTGGGGGTGGTGCGAGGAGAGGAGGCCGCCAAAGAGGTGTGTTCCAGCAAGTGAGAAGAGGGAGAGGGTGGTGAAGAGGAGGGCGAGGATGGGGAGGATGGAGGGGAGGAGGGTGGCGAGGGTGGAGAGGAGGAGGTGCAGACGAGGGAGGTAGTGGGAGAAGGGGAGGAGGGGGAGGCAGCGGAAGAGCAGGGCAGCTTGCAACCTGGTGATGGGCAGACCGAGGGAGGGGAGGGAGACGGAGTGAGGAGAAGGGGAGAGAGGGGGAGGGGTTCGGAGATGGGGAAGGGGAAGATAGTAATTCCTTCTTCATTCCTTTCTTTCTTTCTTTGGAGAGTTGGGGCGTATGAGAGCATGATTCTGGCATGGAAACGAATGGACACGGTTGACCATTCTAGTCCAGGGCGTAAGGGAAATGACGAGTTTTGAGGTGTCTCAGAAGATACGGCGTCATGTGGATAGGATAGGGTAGCATACCAGTGTAGGGCGTCAGAGAGATGGAGATGCATGCTTCGTCTGAGAGCTTGGGTCACAAGCAGCTGGGGGAATGTGGGCGATGGTGATGGTATTGGTGATGATGGTGATGGCGACAGTTCCCGCAGCAACAACCGTGGTGGTTGCTGCTCTGACGCTGATGTTGCTGCTGCTTCTGCTCCTGCTTCTACTGATGCAGAATTTGAAGCTGATGTCACCTGCAGACGTAAATGCTGCTTCTGCTGCTGCTGCTGCTGTGGGTAGTTATGCTTTTGCACCGGATGCTGCTGTTGCTGCTGCTGGTAGTGGCCAGGAGATATTGTGGAAGATGCAGAAGGGGAACGGATGGAGCAGAAGGGGAGGATGAGCAGGACGAAGAGGATGACGAAGAGGAGAGGGATGGAGGAAAAGAAGTGAAAGCGCCAGTGGGGGGAGAGGATGTGCGGCCAGCAGCACCAGCAGTGGAGTGTGAAACGGAGGATCCATACCATAGCTGCACATACAAGGGAATGGGTAGTGGTGGTAGGGAAGGAGAGGGGTCGGGAGATGGGAGGCTATTTGTTGCTTGGAGTAGAAAAATGGACGATCTGTGTAGTGGTTGCAGAGGAGGGAAGCAAGAGGAGATCGCGAAATGGTGAAATTGGTTTCGCAAGAAGACGAGCAACATAGAGCAAATGCAGAGGGATAAGCAGAGCAGAGGAAGCTCTGTGTAGGCTGGAATGACAGTAGCAATGAGAGCGAGAATCTAGAGAAGAGATTTTCTGCAGTGTCTCCGCATGTGGTGCAGGAAATTTCAAAATGTCAGTGGAGAGAGGCGAATCGAAGGGGCGAATAAGGCGTGTGGATGAGTGGGGCAATGGCATGCCGTGGCATGAAACGACATTATGTCGCATGGCCTGGCGTGGCGTGGCATGGAACTGCATGGAGTGGCATGGCATGACATGGCATGGCATGGCAGAGTATGACATGTGTGGATCGATACCAGTGATGCCCTGCGAGGGAGGAGGAAACGTGTAGGGGAGGGATGATGGACACGCGCAAGGAGGATGGGTAAAGGTTGAAAAGGAGAAGAGATTATGACGCGATGCAAGGGATGCCTCAGGGAGGGAGCCAGCTGTGTGTCAGCTGTTTCCAATCTCTTGAATGGTCATTCGTTGGATCTCTTTCTCTTTCTATTTCCCTCTCTTTCTTTCCATCTCTTTAACTTCCAGTTCATTTTTTTGCCTTTTCTTCTTTCCTTCGCCCATATAGTTTCCGTCTCCCATTTCTCCCCCACTCGATGTTCTTGTTGCAGCCTGGAGGACAGGCTGTTGCCTGCCATTGAATTCCTGTCCACGAACCTCCTGCTCTCACCACCACAGCTGCTCGAATTGGTCTACGCAGCTCCACAGGTAGTAGAAACCAGGAATGGACCCAAGAGACCAGTCTCCACAGCACCTCAGCTCAGCCATTATTTTGTATTGTTGACTTAAAAGCTTCTCTTCAGCTGACCTTCTTAAACCTTCCGAGGAGTCTGAGCCTGAAAATACGTCCGATTGTCTTCTCAGCACCGCAGGTGCGCCCCCGATGCCCTGTCATACCATCAGATGCTGTGTGCCTGTACTCTATTCTTCCAATCACACAGCACTTGCAACAGGCCTTGCACACACTGGTGCACAAGCATCAGAGCCTATAGCGAGAGCCAGTGACACATCAATATACGGACCACTAGAGAAAGGGAGCCTTACTGCTGCCAACCCCCCTCCCCAGGTGCTAACCCCACACAGTGGGTCGGACCCCACAGCAGCAGGCAGCCAACCCTTCCCCGCCACTGCCCTCCCCCCTCTCCAGGTGCTAACCCAGTCAGTGCCGAACACGCCGCATCCAAAACTCCTCTTCCTCTCGCACACAGTGGGTCTGACCACACAGCAGCAGGCGGCAATGCTGCCACGGCAGCCCAACGTGCTGTGCCTGTCGCTGCCCCTGCTGCACCGCAACCACTCCTCCCGGCGCGCGCTGGGCTTCTCACACGAAGAGATTCGCCGCATGCTCGTGCTCTTCCCCACGCTGCTGCTTCTCAGGTATCTGGAAAGGGGGGGTGGGTGTAGGTTTGGGTGGGGCATGCGTGGGTCTGGATGGGGCTTGTTCCTTGGGCTGGGTGGGGTTCCTGCCTGCGTTTGTGGGGGTCTGACAGGGCAGCAGCAGGCCGCCATACTGCCGCGGTGACATTTCAGTCGACTCAGAAGCCCAACGTGCTGTGCCTGTCGCTGCCCCTTTTGCACCGCAACCACTCCTCCCTGCGTGCGCTGGGATTCTCCCCAGAGGACATTCGCCGCATGCTCGTGTCGAAAATAGCAGGCTAAAACGAGAAACAGGAAAGAGAGGATTTTCACTAGCATGCAGTTGAGTACATATAGCAAACCCTAGTTCGGGCTGTACTCGCTATAGAGTACCCCACTGCAGGCTACACAAACATCACATTCTGACACACCCCCATAGTCAAAGTGGGGTACAATCAACACAACAAGCAGGCAGAGCAGTAGTTCACAATTATAAGTAAAGCTAGAGGCTATCAAAGAGGGCAAGTGAGGAGGAGGAGAAACTGTGGGGAAGAGAAGATGGGAGGCGACGGCTGAAGCTGCAGATACACGGGCAGCAAGAGTGCGCAGCACTGTCCCTACCAAGCTAAACCCGGACTACACGGCGACAGACGCAGCTGGCTCACTGTGCTCCCAGGGGTGCTCACACTGTAGCTACCAAGCGCAGAGCCCCGGACTACTCAGGCCACAGGGGGTCGTGGCTCTCTGGACTACCAGGAGTGCTCACACTGTGGCTACCGGGCGCAGAGCCCCGGACTACTCAGGCCACAGGGGGTCGTGGCTCCCTGGACTTCAGGCGCTGCGGACGACAAGTCGGCTACCTCCAGTCAACCTCCCCCAACTGTCCCACACCCCTTTCACACACCCCCTGCTGCACCTCTAGCATGCTCACACGCCACCCCCCTCGTACCACTCCGACGGCTCCAACACATCCACCCCCCTCAGCGGTAGCTGCAGCAGTGGGAGACGGAGGAGGAGGAGAAGCAGGGGACGGCTCACACACCCGACACCCCCATACTCTCCACCCCTAAACCCTAACACAGGAGCGCGGGCAGCAGCGGGGGTGGGGCGCGGTCAGAAGCACGGGACGAACCGCACGCGGGCTGCCCGGGCCGCGCGCGGGCCTGGCGCAGCCCGTACGGGCCGCGCGCGGGCCTGGCGCAGGTCGCGCGGGCCGCGTCGGGCGACGGGGGGCGACGTGACGGTCGACAGGGGGCGACGCGCGGTTCGACGGGGCAGAAAACCGCCGCGCGCCCCGAGCGCGCGGCGGGAAGAAAAATCGCTGCGCGCCCGGAGCGCGCGGCAGGCAGGAAACAGCACGCGCCCGGGGCGCGCTACAGACTGTAAAGCAGCGGAAGCATCGGGTGGGGCCCACCCACAGGATCGACCCAGGAGGGTCAACCTATTCTAATACCATGTCGAAAACAGCAAGCTAAAACGAGAAACAGGAAAGAGAGGATTTTCACTAGCATGCAGTTGAGTACATATAGCAAACCCTAGTTCAGGATGTACTCGCTATAGAGTACCCCACTGCAGGCTACACAAACATCACATTCTGACAGCTCGTGCTCTTCCCCACGCTGCTGCTGCTCAGGTCTTTAGAGGGGGGGAGGGGGAGGAGAGGGGGGGGGGGGAGATGTAGATCCGGGTGGGGTTTGTGCTGTGGCATGGTGGTCGGTTCGGTGTTGCGCATTTCAAGGGAATGTGCGGATAGAGGGCAATGGAGAGGGACGTTGGGATTGAAGGGGTTGGCTTAAGGTGGGGCGAGGTTGTCAATTTTTTTCTCGGATGCAATTAGCTGGAGAGAGTGGTTGGTGTGTAAGGATGCGTACAAAGGTGATTTCAAACAGGGATGGATGGGTTGGGATGGGAGGGACTCAGCTTGTTTCTTTTTTGTCCTGCCACACCATTTGTGAAGGTTGTCTCATGTTTCCAACCTCATCCCTCCTCCCTCCTCCCTGCCCTCCCTCCCTCGCTCCCTCCACGCTCCACTCCCACCAGTCCCGACAATATCCAAGCCAAGTGCACCTTCCTCACAGGCCCCATGGGTCGCCCCCTAGCACACGCCGCCGCCTTCCCCCACTTCTTTGGCTACAGCCTGCACCGCCGCATCCAGCCCCGCTACAGCCGCCTGCAGGCTCTAGGCGCCTCCCCGCCTCCTTCCCTCACTTCCATGCTCTGCTGTACCGGCCAGGCGTTTCAATCCAAGTGGGCTGTATCAGCGGAGGGGGATAGCATGGGGGGAGGTTTTTGAGAGTTCTCAAAGCAAGAGGGTTGCAGCGGGGGAGAGGGAAAGGAGAGGAGAAGGGCGAAGGGATAAGGGGGGGGGGGGGGTTGTGGGGAGAGAGGGTAGGGGAGTCTGGGGAGGAGGGTGGAGGAACGGAGAAGGAAGGAGAGGAAAAAAGAGGTGGATGGGGTCAAAGCGATCAAGCAAGTCGTGGTGGTCAAGGATTAGAAAAAGGGGTTTTCGAATAAAGTGTACTGCACTGCTGCGTTTGCGATTCAAAATTCCGTTAGGGGGTGGTGCTGCTGCTGCTTGTTGCTTCCACTGCATGTGTCATGTCGTTTATGGGAGGCTGCGGCATGTGAAACAGTTCAGGGTGCCGAGGGCAGTGTTGGAAAGACGTGCTCCTGCTGCTGCTGCCGCTGACTGGTATCTTTTGTGTAGTTGCTGCAGCATCGACGCACGACTTGCATGTTGTTATAATAAGTCGTCTCAGGAAGTGTTATCTAGGTGGTAGCCAAATTTCCATAATGATAAATCTTAATTCTTGTCTCCTGAAAGCCAATGTTACGGTAAGAAATTAACATTCATGTACGTAATATGGTAGTACCTAGCTAGGCTGGAACCTTGGGCACGCGAGGTTGGGTGCAGGTTGGGCAAGGGAAGACCGAAGGCAACGTGAGGCAGCCTCGGCATTGTGGATGTCGGCCGAACGTGCGAGTCCGAAAGTGGGGGTTGTACGCGAAGCGGTCAACCCGGATTAAGCAATATATATTCTCCATACAACTATCTACAATAGCGATCCCTCGTTTTCAATAGGAGTTTTTCTGTTTGCACTAGCCGGTGAAGTTGGTACGCAAAATGCCTGTTGACTTGTTGCGACACTCGTGTGTTCGCAAATGGTTTTCGCCATGTTTCTGCTTTCGGAAACCACCCGAACCTCAAAATGGCCGAACCCCAAACCAAAAGGCCCGCGCGTTGACTTGGTTTGATTAATTCGCGTTTGATCGATCTGATGAGTCAGCAAATCAACCACTAGGCACGCCTCACCACACCACACCAATAATACAGAGTAACAGATTAGCACACCAATGAGCACTAGCAAGAATTCTGGTCGCAAACCAATGAGAAACCCCCCTAGGCGTCCCAAACCAATAACTTCCAAGGAGCAATCGCCTGCTCAGCAAAATAAAGTTATATATTGAAAGTTTTGATCGTAAACCAATGACAGAGCAGTACTGAACGTGTTCGTCTGTTTCGCTTGACCACCTTGCGACCGCTGGGTCGATGGTCACTCAGCAGCAGGCATCACGATCTCACAACGAGGTGCATTCCGAGCCGCAATGTCTGACTTTGGATGGAAGATAAATTGGAGCGGATTCGCACATTCTGCATCAACCTTCTCTCACACAAGTCTTCATCGTTACAGCTAGAAGCCCTGAAAGCTTATCTTAGCGCCACTAGCTCTTTTTGGTACGGTTCATCCTTTGAAGTATGAGCAACACCAACACCGGCCGTGCCCGTCTCCACCACGATGGCGAATTACAAGACTCTCCTGACGCTCTTTATTTCGTTCACGATCATCGGTAAGCATCCCCAATACTTATGTGGAAACGAAATTCTGGAAACCGTAATGCATAGAATGTTTAGCAGCCGTACTGACTACACTTGTGCGCCATGTCGTCACGTTTCGATATCGCAGCTTGCAGCATTCAGTCTCTGGCGGACGACAGCGCGATGTCGCTCAATCAAGTGCAGCCCCAGCGCAAACTTACTGTCCCCGCTGATGTCCCCGCTGACGTCCCCGCTGATCCCGCTGATGTCCCCGCTAATGGCACTGAAGATTATGATTGGTATGATTATTCAAATGCTGACGTGTCCACGACGGTGACCGTCGGCGGCTCGTCCTACGTGTTCGAGTCGGCAGTCTGCGTGTACCTCGAGGCCAACAACGGGCGCGGCGGCAAAAAGGCGAAGCAGAGCGCAACGGTGTGGTGGGACGGCAAACGGGCGCGGAACGGCAAAGCCAGGAAGGTGGGAGGTGGCGGGGGCAACGCATGCAAGGAGGTGCAGTTCTTCACCAGCGAATTCTGCGAAGGCAACGCCGTTGAGAAAATAAACCAGCCCAAAGCCAACCCTCTCCGCAAGTTCTTCCGCCTCCCCAAATCCACGTGAGCTCTCCCACCCAGCCCTGCTTCTCCCTGTCTGCTCCGCGCTGCTCCCCGCTGTTTCCCGCTGCTCCCTGCTACTCTCTGCCGCTCCCTGATACTCTCTGCAGCTCCCTGCTACTCTCTGCCGCTCCCTGCTACTCCCTACTGTTTCCTGCTCATTCCTGCTAATCGCTGCTGCATTCAGCTGCTCCTTTGCTCGTGCCATGGGGGCGGTATCTCAACCGTTGTCCCTCCCTTGTGAATACTACGACTCACACTCGGAGTTGGCTCCAACTCTTGCTAATCCAACACATGCTACTGTTATTCTCCTCCCCTTCCCCATGGGCAGCACCAAGAAGATCCCCAAGACTGTCAAGTCCGTCTTTTGCTATCTCGGTCCGGATTATTGGTAAGCACTAGTAGCCAGTAGTGCTCACCCACCCCATGCTGCTGTCAGTCTCTCTCTCTCTCTCTCTCTCTCTCTCTCTCTCTCTCTCTCTCTCTCTCTCTCTCTCTCTCTCTCTCTCTCTCTCTCTCTGTGTTTCCCTCCCTCTCCCTCTCTCCCTCCTCTCTCTCTCTCTCCCTCTCCCTCCTTCTTTCTCTCTCCCTCTCCCTCCCTTTCCCTCCCTCACCCTCCCCCTCTCTCTCTTTCTCTCCCTCTCCTTTCGTTTCCCTCCCTCTCCCTCCCTCCCCACACACACTTGCAAATTTGTACATGCATGCTAAGAGACCCTCTACACCCATGTGCTTGTAACCTCCTCGAATTCACACACTTGCACATTTGTACATGCATGCTCGCAAACATGCTAACTTCGACGCCTTTGTGATTGTCTCTTCCTCGAATTCAAACGTGCAGGCCGGTGTTAAGGCATTCAGGTGACCAGATCTGAGAGTAGTTCAGAGCACTTGCTGTCGTGGTCCCAAACCTTTTCTGGTGGTCTGGCCTTGTTGGTCTAGGCTTTTATTTTCTTCGTATTCGTAGAATGAATCTGTACATGGGTTGCAAAACGGTTGGTGTTTCCTAACTACATTCAAACGCTTCCAAACCAGATAACATTTGCTCTTCGAGGTGTGGTAGCTCGTGGCCGATAATAGGCATCTGGTACTAGTAGTACATGCCAAGAATGTGACACTTTCCGTGGCAATGTCACCTCGTAGCTTAGTATCAACAACTGCTAGAGAGGAATGACAGGAACAAGCTGGCACTGTTACTCACTAGTGTTCCTCCCTACGGGGAAATTGACACACGCATGGCATTCACCCAAGCTGCAGTCGCAAGACATAAGAATGCGGTTTCCATGCTAGCTGCAAGACACTACTACTACTGGGAGGGTGGATGGGAATGGGAAGGGAACTGAGTAGCCTTGACTTGACTTCTGGAAGTCTTGCATGATGTGCGACAAGATGAATAATTTAGAAACATATTTCTAAATTTAATGATTGTGACAAGATTCGAAAAGGGGGAATGCAATGAGGAGGCATTCCCACCTTATCCTTCGGCAGGTTCACAGACCTGCCACCTAGTCTCATTTCAATCATCCCAATTAGAGTTCCCGCCCGTCCCACCCCCTTACACACATTAACGCTTAGATAGCTCGTCTAGCCAGTCCTAATTTTATTGTATTGTTACTTATACATACTGTGCCATGTAATTGATGATGATTACCTATGACGACTGCATTGCTAGGACGACTGCATTGCTATGACGACTGCATTGCAAGCTCTTGCAGAGTCTTGTCACAATTGCATTTCTTGGTCGTTCAGTCGCCTGTATCACATCGCATCGCATCGCATCTCATCGCATCCCATCGCATCCCATAGCATGGCATCCCATCGCATCGCATAGCATTCACGTACATCCCATCACATCACATCACATCACATCACACATCACATCACATCACGCCACGTCACGTCATGTCACATTCACATTCACATTCACATTCAGATTCGAATTCAGATTCAGATTCAGATTCAGATTCAGATTCACATCACATCACATCACATCACATCACATCACATCATATCACATCACATTACATCGCGCCACATCACATCACATCACATCACATCACATCATATCACATCCATCACATTGACGTCACAACACAGCTGATGTGGATACCACGTGTTGAGTGACACAAATCTGAAGGAGACTGTCTATTCATACCTGTACAGTTACTCGTACAGGAACATCATACCGTACAAACTGGCCTTTAAATTTCCAGGTTGATTTTACAGGGAAAATGTCGAACCTAATCCTGACTCTGTACCCGGAATATCATTACCGCAACTACAAAGCCTGTACCTACATTGATCACCAAAGCCACCACCTGCCGGTGGTGGTGGTGGTGGCGGTGGTGGTGCTGCTGCTGCTGTTGGTGGTGGTGCTGCTGCTGCTGGTACAGCTCCTGGCCTGAGTCCCCAATCTCCCCTCTGTGAGCCTCCCCGGAACCTCAACTCCTTCACAAAGGCTTCGAGAATAAAAGCGACCACCACATTGAGCACAAACACCACAATGACCACGTAAAACAGCGCAAAGTACACAGTCGCCTTCGACTGCTGCTCGGGCGGCAGCACTGCCGCAACCCCATCCATGATCACATACCAGTTGTTCACAATACACAGGTTGAAAGCCACGGCCATCGAAGCCGGAAAGTCGTTGAAATTGAGGGGGAGGAAGCCGGATTGAAAGTAGTCTGTGGTTTGAAGCTGGGGGTGGTGTGAGGAGAGGAAGCCGCCAAAGAGGTGTGTGCCGGCGAGTGAGAAGAGGGAGAGGGTGGTGAAGAGGAGGGCGAGGATGGGGAGGATGGAGGGGAGGAGGGTAGCGAGGGAGGAGAGGAGGAGGTGTAGACGAGGGAGGTAGTGGGAGAATGGGAGGAGGGGGAGGCAGCGGAAGAGCAGTGCAGCTTGCAACCTGGTGGTGGGCAGGCCAGAGAGAGGTTGAGGGGATGGGAGTGAGGGGATGGGAGTGAGGGAGGGGGTTGTTAGAAGCAGGTAGTTATTTTATTTCATCTCTTTGATTTTTTTTTTCTTTCTTTCTGTTTTATCCTTTGGGAAGACGTACGAGAGCACGGACATGGCATAGCAATCAATGGGCGCGACTTGGCAAACCGGTTTTAGGGCGTACGGAAGGTGAGGGGTTAAGACGTGTTTCAAGAGTTATGACAGAGAAGGGACAGGATTTAGCATACCAGTGTAGCGCGTCAGAGAGATGCGGAGGCATGCTTGGCCTGAGAGCATGGGTCACAAACAGCTGAGGGAAAGTGGGTGGTGGTGGTGGTGATGGTGATGGTGATAGGTCCCGCAGCAACAACCGAGGTTGTTGCAATATGTGCTCTTGCTCTGATGCTGCTGTTGCTGCTTCAGGTGCTAATTGTGCTGCTTCTGGTGCTACTGATGCGGAGCTTGAAGCTAATGACACCTGCACATGTACATGCTGCTTCTGCTGCTGCAAGTGCTGCTGCTGCAGATAGTTGAATTGATGCTTTTGCATCTCATGCTGCTGTTGCTGTTGCTGTTGCTGTTGCTGTTGCTGTTGCAGCTTGTAGTGGCCAGGAAATATTGTGGAAGATCCAGAAGGGGAACGGATGGAGCAGAGAGGGAGGAGGAGGAGGAGGAGGATAAGGGCGAGTGAGAGGAGAGGGATGGAGGAGAAGAAGTGAAAGCGCCAGTGTGGGGAGAGGATGTGCGGCCAGCAGCACCAGCAGTGGAGCATGAAACGGAGGGTCCATACCATGGCTGCACATACATGGAAACGGGTGGTGGCCATAGAGGGTAAGAGGGGATGGGAGTGGGATGAAATCCGTTGAGTGGAGTATGAAACGGAGGGTCCATACCATGGCTGCACATACATGGAAATAGGCAGTGGTGGTAGGGGGGAGGCGGGATGGGAGATGGGATGATTTTTGTGAAGTGGACGATCTGTGTAGTGGTTGCAGAGGAGGGAAGCAAGAGGAGATTGCGGAATATTGGATACGCAAGAAGACGAGCAACGCAGAGCAAATGCAGAGGGATAAGCAGAGCAGAGTAAGCTCTGTGTGGGCTGGAATGACAGCAGCGACGAGAAAGGGATACTGGAGAAGAGATTTCTGCAGTGGCTCCGCTTCTGAAACGTTTCAAAAGAGACTTGTGAGACGTCTCAAAAGAGACTTGTGAGACGTCTCAAAAGAGGATCTGGAGAAGAGATTTTCTGCAGTGGCTCCGCTTGTGGTGCAGCAAATCTTAAAAAGGTCAGTGGAGAGAGGCGACTTACAGGGATGATTACCGGGTGTGGATGAGTGGGGCAATGGAACAAGCATCGCATGCCATGGCATGAAATGACATTGCGTGGCATGGCATGGCCTGGCGTGGCATGGCATTTCATGCAGTGGCATGGCATGGCATGGCACGGCATGGCACAGTATGGCATGTGTGGAACAAGCGTGGATGGGGCGTGAGTGATGTCACCTGCCAAGACCTGTGCGGCAATGAGGAGTGACGGATCGATACCAGCGATGCCTTGCGAGTGAGAGGGACGATGGACACGTGCACGGAGGATGGGTAAAGGCTGGGACGGAGAAGGGATCATGACACGCGGCGTAAGGGATGCCTGAGCGAGGGAGGGAGTGAGGGAGGGAGGGAGGGAGCGAAGGAGGGAGGGAGTGAGGGAGGGAGCGAGGGAGCGAGGGAGGGAGGGAGCGAGGGAGGGAGCGAGGGAGCGAGGGAGGGAGCGAGGGAGCGAGGGAGGGAGGGAGCGAGGGAGGGAGCGAGGGAGCGAGGGAGGGAGCGAGGGAGCGAGGGAGGGAGGGAGCGAGGGAGGGAGCGAGGGAGCGAGGGCGGGAGCGAGGGAGCGAGGGAGGGAGCGAGGGAGCGAGGGAGGGAGGGAGCGAGGGAGGGAGCGAGGGAGCGAGGGCGGGAGCGAGGGAGCGAGGGAGGGAGGGAGCGAGGGAGGGAGCGAGGGAGGGAGCGAGGGAGCGAGGGAGGGAGCGAGGGAACGAGGGAGCGAGGAAGCGAGGGAGGGAGCGAGGGAGGGAGCGAGGGAGGAGGGAGGGAGGGAGGGAGGGAGGGAGGGAGGGAGGGAGGGAGGGAGGGAGGGAGGGAGGGAGGGAGTGAGGGAGGGAGGGAGGGAGGAAGGGAGGGGAGAGCAAGGGAGGGTGGATGAGGAAGTAAGGGCAGAAAGAGGGCATGGCATGGCGTGGGAGGGGGGTGTCACCATGTGTGCTTCTGCCATGAGCAACAGTGTGAGCACGAGCCCTAGCTGCTCCACCCTCGACGCCCACCCCTGCTGCTGCACCCAACAGTTCACACCACCATTACGTGCACATGCTGCTGCTGCTGCTGCGGGTGGGGATAGTGACGGTGATGCTGGTGATGGTGGTGATGACAATGGGGTATGTGGCGGTGGAACAGGAGAGAGGCGCGATGACGGCAGCAACGGCTGCTGAAGGGATGAAGAAGAAGAGGAGGATGCCAACACCCGCGCTGATGACAGAGATAGTGATCGACACGGTGACAGTGGTGGTGATGTTGGTAGCGACGATGGTGATTGTCGGAGTGACGCTGAATCCCCAGCTGAAGGCGAATGTACTATCGTAAATGGTACCGAGGGTACCGAGGGTACCGAGGGTACCGAGGGTACCGAGGGTACCGAGGGTACCGAGGGTACCGAGGGTACTGAGGGTACTGAGGGTGCTGAGGGTACTGAGGGTGCTGAGGGCGGTGAGAACGGAGGAGAGACCAGCTGCTGCTGATACCCGTTCGTCTCCGCCTCAAGCCGCTCGCTGCGACTCTGCCAGCGTCGCTGCTGCTGCTGCTGCTTCCATCGCTCAAACTGCCACCGCTGATCGTAAAGCCAGTCTGCCCAATCACGGCAATCGCAGCTGTGCTGTGCTTCAGGCTCCGGTGCGCACTCACACGCCACTCTCTCAATTTGAGACGTCTCGAAAGCCCCCCCTGTGCTCCTACTGTGTACCCCTGCGCTCTCACACACCGCCATCCCATCTCTAATCCCTTGAGCCACCTTGGAGTGTGGCAAACGGCCGGTCGACGTAGCAGCAAGCCAGGAAGACGGGCGATCAGAGAAGCTGTGACGGGTTAAGTGCGGAGCAGAAGCAGCAGAAATGGTGGAGGGCTGGGAGTGGGAGGGGTAGTAGGAGGTGGAAGGGTGTTGAGAGGGGTACGGAACGGTTGGCTGGAATATGCGGTGGTGTGAGGCTGTACGCTGGGGTATCAGGCCCGCTGAAGCAGAGTGATGTAAAGAAGGAGCAGACGCCACTGCTGATAAACTTCTCCTTGCTCTCTCTCCCATCGCTCCCCTCTCTCCCATTCTCTTTCTCTCTTCTACCCCACCCTCCCATCTCCCTCTCCCCCATACACCACTCCCCCACACTCCGCTCCCCCATACACCACTCCCCCACCTCACCTCTTCCCCTCGCCCCTCCCCTTCGCCCCATCCCCTTTCTCCTGTCGCCAGCACCTCCCGTGCCTGGTGCCCCATACCACCCCACAGCCTTTGAAACTGCTGTGTCTGAGGCGCCTCAAGAACGGACGCGTGCTGCAGCTGCCCCATGCCACCCCACAACCACCCTTGGAACCATTGCTTCGGAGGCGCCTCAAGAAGGGAGGCCTGGTGCGCCAGCGCGTGGCACAGCCCCTGGAACTCGTCTGCCCAGATGTGCAGGTCGCCCCGCGTGTCCAGGCGGAAAAAGAGCGACGCCATGTGCCTAGCGCCATGCGGATGGGACCTGGGGAAGATGGGGAGAGAGAAGTAGGAGGGGGCGGGAGTGGGGGAGGGGGGAGAGAGACGGTTGGAGAGAGAGCAAGAGCGGGAGAGCCCATGGTGCAGGTGGTGCTTTGAGGAATTGAAGGGGAGATGGTATGTGTTCCGAGTCCACTGAAAATCACGCCTCAAGAAGGGAGGCCTGGTGCGCCAGCGCGTGGCACAGCCCTTGGAACTCGTCTGCCCAGATGCGCAGGTCCCCCCGCGTGTCCAGACGGAAGAAGAGCGACGCCATGTGCCTTGCACCGTGTGGGTGGGACCTGGGGGGAAGAGGGAAAGTGAGAGCGGCGGCAGCGAGAGGGGGAGAAAGGAGTGGAGAGGTGGCGAGAGTGGGAGAGCACAGGGCGCAGGTGGTGTTTGAGAAAGTGAAGCGAGGTGATATAAGTTGGAACGACGGTCATTCGGCCATTCTTCGTATCAGTTGGAACGATGGCTAACAAACCATGTGTTCTTCTCAAATAACAATGCGACTGAGGTGAAGAAAGAAAGAATCAGCAAAAATCGAAGAAAGAGAGGAAGAAAACAAAGAAAGGAAGACTAGATTGGAAGCTTAAGATTCTCACTTGAAAGGCTCCATGGCTCGGAGCAGCTGTGTGATGGTGCGAGCCGACCGACACGACGCCCACCCCTGCCTCCTGTCGTTCATTCAAGCGAGCACTCTGAGACGACTCAAACCTCTTTTGAGTCGCCTCAGAAGTCATCTCAGAACTCACTTGAATGGCTCCATGGCTCGGAGCAGCAGTGTGATGGTGCGTGCGGACACCCACCCCTGCCTCCTGTCGTCCAGGAGAGTAAAGGCCTCCTGCAGACATGCCTCCCTTGCTGTCACCTGCTTGCGCTCCCACACTGCCATCTGGTTAGTTCGGGTGATGGGGTGATGGGGTTTGTTTGGAGTGATGTGGGCAGCAGAGGTGTGAGGGAAAACGGGGAGAGGGAAAGTGAGTGAGAAGTGTGAGAGTGAGAATAGGCGTGAGAGTGAGTGTGAAAGTCGCCTGCTTGCACTTACAGGCCGCCATCTGTTTGGTTTGGGGTGGTTCAGGCAGGGCTCGAGGCTAGAGAGGAGAGTGGGAGTGTGAATGAGAGCATGTGAGTGTGAGTGTGAGAGCATGTGAAAGAGAGCATGTGAATGAGAGCATGTGAATGAGAGCATGTGAATGAGAGCATGTGAATGAGAGCATGTGAATGAGAGCATGTGAATGAGAGCATGTGAGTGTGAGCATGTGAATGAGAGCATGTGAGTGTGAGCATGTGAGTGTGAGTGTGAGAGCATGTGAATGAGAGGGACTCAAAACGGACGCACCTGGGAGCTATAGGAGGAGTAGATGACAGAGAGAAGGAGGCAGAGGGGATGGGGGATGGGTAGGTGGCGAGAAGCAAGGGGATGGAAACAAGAAGCAGACCAAAGGGACGGTCGCACCTGGGAGCTATAGGAGGAGTAGATGACAGAGAGAAGGAGGTTCATGGAGAAGAGACAGATCGCGAGGTAGGAGGCAAAAAAGAGGAAGGAGAGGGGAAGGGGATGGGGAGGTCGCGAGACACAAAGGAGAGGAATCGGCTGGTAGACCAAAGGGATAGGCGCCGCACCTGGGAGCTATAGGAGGAGTAGATGACGGAGAGCACGAGGTTCATGAAGAAGAGACCGAGCGCGAGGTAGGTGGGGAAGGCGAGGACGGAGAGGGGACGGGAGGGGGAGGACAGAGAAGGAGAGAAGGGAAGGGAAGTGAAGGACGGTCGCACCTGGGAGCTATAGGAGGAGTAGATGACAGAGAGAACGAGGTTCATGAAGAAGAGACCGAGCGCGAGGTAGGAGGCGAAGAAGAGGAAGGAGAGGTGCGAGGCGTTGAGCTCTGGCAGCCACACGTTGGGGTTGTTGGCCGTGGCGAGGAGGATGAACACGGCGTGGCGTGGCCCGCAGGGACGCGGGGAGAGAGGAGAAGGCGGAGGGGGAGGGGGAGGGGGAGGGGGGGGGGGTGGAGAGGGGGGAGGCAAGGAGGGGGGTGGAAAGGAGGAGGCGGAGAAGGAGGAGGTGGAGATTGGGGAAGTGGGGTGGATTGCAATGGTGGTGGCGGCGGCGGCGGCAGTGGAAGTTGTTGATTCTTGGAGAGGGGAACCAAAGATGATGTAGGCGAGCCAGGCGAATGATACCACGAAGACTGTGAGGAGAATCTGCACGGGGAGAGAGTGGCAAAGGGGGTGAGAGGAATGAGGGGGAGGAGAGGGCGGGAGGCGAGCGGGGAAATGAGGGATGCGGTGTGGGGCAATGGAGATGGTGAGGGCAAACGGTGAGAGGCAAGGTAAGAGGATACGGAGCAGGAGAAAAGGGGGATAAAGGAGAGTGTGGGAGGGAGTCAGAGAAATCGATCGATTGAGTGGGAGAAAGGGGAGCATGTATCAAGGCGAGTGCATGAATGGGACGATGCGGGAAGGTGATGGATACGGGAGTGAGAGAACTAGACGCAACATGGAAATGCGTGCAGTAACAGGAAGATTGATAGGGCAGGACTGAGTGCAAGAAAGGATGCGTGGGGAATTGACCGACCGCAATGTCGAGGAAAGAAGCGATGATGCGCAGTGTGGTGCGGAAACAGCCTCGGATGGACCTGGGAGAAACAGACATACGAGGTGGGGGAGGGAGGGGCAAAAGATGGAAGGAGGAGATAGGAGAGGGCGATGAGGAAAGGGAAAGAGACAGGGAAGAAATGGGAGCACAAGAGCAATGTGCAACAAGAGAGTGGGGGACAGTAAGGAAGGAAGAGACACGAGAGGGCAGGGGAGGAAGAAGTAAAGGGAGAGGACATGCAATCATAAGTGCGAGGACATATTCTTTGCTGGAGAAAGAATCACTTTACCTCATGCGCACGAACACATGCGCGTGCGCGCGCCTACACCCACACCCACACGCACACCACACTCCCACGCGCACGCACGCTCACACACACGCCCACCCACACCCACACCCACACCCACACCCACACCCACACCCACACCCACACGCACACGCACAAGCACGCAGGCACGCTCGCGCAGGCGTGCATGCGCACACACACATACACATACACACCCACACCCACACAGCCGCTTTCAACCTGACACTACCACGCGACCACACAAGCCCACCTGCTGAAGAGAATGGCGAGCATGACACGAAGTTAGGGCGCGATGGGCACGGGGAGGATGTAGGCCGCTAGGTGCGGGGCGAGATGACGCAGGAGGGAGGAGAAAACCCGGTCAACGATGATCCCCAGTGCTGCTGTGAGCTAAGACAGGGGCATGGGTGATGGGGGGAGGATGGGGAGGACGGGAGATTCTATTGTTGAGGAGCCTCAAAAACAGGTGCGTGGCGGAGTGATGCGGGGAGGAGAAGCAGAGCCGGTCAACAATGATCCCCAGTGCTGCTGTGAGCTAAGACAGGGGCATGGGTGATGGGGGGAGGATGGTGAGGATGAGAGAGTAAGGAGGATTGTTGCACAGTGGGGGAAATGTGGGGTTGGGAGAGCAGGGACAGAATGTGGGGAGCCAAACAGGATTGGGAGAGCAGGGATGGAATGAGGAACGGGAAGTTCTTGAGTCTGGCAAGAGCAGGAGATGGGCAGGGATGGCTTAGAGAGGAAGAACAACACACGAAGAAGACGTGGCAGCAGCTGTAGGGTGGAGAAGGAGGAAGGAGGAAGCAGAGGAAGCATTTAATGTGGTGATGGTGATAGTGCCAGTGCCAGTGAATCCGATGCTGATGCCAATCCTGGTGCCGATGCTGGTGCTGCTACTGGTGCTGGGAGCAACTGACTGACCTATTGAGGATTCTCAAAAGTACCATCAACTGACTGACCTATTGAGAACTCTCAAAAGTACCATCAACTGACTGACCTATTGAGAATTCTCAAAAGTACCATCAACTGACTGACCTATTGAGAATTCTCAAAAGTACCATCAACTGACTGACCTATTGAGAATTCTCAAAAGTACCATCAACTGACTGACCTTGGAGAGGACGACGTGATTACACCAAAAGGAGGGTCTCTTCTAACGATGCCATGCCTTGTGCCTTGGACTGTTTGAGAAGTCATCTTGATGCTGAGATGCTGAGAGCGACTGACCTTGTAGAGAGCGACGTGGTTGCGCCAGAAGGAGGGACCCCCCAGGATGCAGTGCTGCAGGGCAAGGAAGCCTAAGGCCATCGCCACACACACCGCCTGAGGAACAATTAGGGGGAGAGAGTGTGGGTGGAGGGAGAGAGCATACAGGGGAGGGGGGGCATGAGAGAGGACATGGATGGGCAAATAGATGGGCTGTAATGGCAGGAATGGCATGGCATGGCGTGGCATGGCATGGCATGAACGGAGCAGAGCTTTGAGACATCTGAAAATGGTAACGGCAGGCATGGCAGGCGTGTAAGATGATGGCAAGAGAAATTGCAACAATGGAACGGAGGCACAGACAAACCTCGAGGAGGAGAGTGAGGGAGTGAGGCATGTAGGACAGGCCACTGAGAGCATAGAGAGAAGGTTCGCCACAGGGAGCAGGGGACGGGGTGTTGGTGCAACCCTACGGTTTGCACTCGGCTTGTTGTCCGTGTGCGTGAATGTGTGTGTGTATGGAATGGTATGAGGGCATGGGATAATATATATTTCATGCTTATAATTGTGTGTGAATGTTGAGTCATGATGTCGAGTGTGTGTGTCGAGTCAATAGCGAGTTATCGCTAGACGCGTGTTACGCGGTCGTTTGTGTCTCGCGCGCGGTTTCTATTTTGTCGTGCGCGGTTTCTATTTTGTCCTGTGTCGAACGTTCGGCGTGTCGCAGGTGTGTGCAGCAGACCCATCAAGAACTCAAGGATGAGTTTGTGATGAAGAGCCCGAGCCTTGGTGTCAAGCCTCAAGTGATTTCGAAGCTCGCCGAAAAGGGTACACCTCAAGATATTGAAGATAGTTACATTACTTTGTGTAGTGTAACATTTCACTTGGTGTAGGCCCTAGTGAAGGGTAGTTTCGAGACCCTTCGTGGTTGGGGACAGTGTGGCACTGTTCCACATCACTGTACCTCGGCTCTTGGGGTTTGTAGGAGCTGGGAGTCATTCCCAACTCGTAACTCTTCCTATCTTGTGTTCTAAGACTATAGTGGCTGCCATAGTACCGTTCGTTCAAACCGACGCTGTGTCGTCAATTCTTTATCAAATCGTGCAATCTAAATTGCTAATTGTAGACGACGTGAAGACGCTCCAGATCCAATTTGAATCAGGTCATTTGCAGCTGTGAGTAGAACGCTATCAACGTTTGAAGCCGCTGTGCAGAAATCCGTCTGTGCTCTCTATCTTTCGTTTTAGGCACATTCAAGCCTATTGTGACTATAACAAGTGGTATCAGAGCCCCTTGGAGCAGTTTCGACAATGTCTGGACCTGAGGAAAGGGGTGGCAGAGGTGCTGGTGGCAGTGGAGAAGCTCAAGCTCAAGGCCAACCCCGTGATTCAGCCATGGCGCCCATGCAACCAAGTCTTGGCCCACCTAGGGATGAGCCTAGGGTGTTTGGGCTTGACAAGTTCAACGGTGACAACTTTGCTGAATGGTCCTTCAAGATGGAGAACATTTTTGACCACTATGACCTGCTGGAGGTGATGGAAGGAACGGAGAAGCGCCCCGAGAACGACCCGGAGAAGAGCCCGTGGGTGCGGAAGAGCGCACAAGGCTATCTCTTACTTGGGCAAGCGTTGGGGAGCAGTCAGATCCGTCACATCAAGCCATTCCAGCGTGAACCAGAGAAAGGACCAAAGGCATGGGCTGCTCTCAAGGGTGTACATGCTCCTGCAACAGCGGCGGTAGCGGTGGTGTTGGAACGGCAAATGGCGGCACTACGAATTGAAGAAGACGAAGCGGTTGAAGAAGGGGTGCAGAAATTCTTCGACTTGTTGACGCGGCTTGAGGGAGCTGATTTGAACTACAGTGAGCTCCAAAAGAAGACCAAGTTGCTGGCCTTACTCCCAGAGTCATGGTCCTCGCTCATCATCAACCTTAATCGCGACTTGCCCCGCCTCTCGCTTGAAGACGTGAAGCGAGCTATCCTTCAAGAGGATACCGCCGCCGTGAGTTGGCGAGTGCGGATGGCGCTGGGGCAGCGAGCATCGGCCGTGGATATGGTCGAGGAAGAGGCAGAGGACGAGGGGGAGGAAGTTTTGGTGGCAGCAACTTCGGCGGAGGCCGCAGGAGTGGCGGTTACGGCATCGACGACAAGAGCTACGGACGCGGTCGCGGCCGATTCGACGGCGAGTGTCACTATTGCCACAAGAGCGGACACATGTGGCGCGACTGCTACAAACTCCCTGATGGTTGGACCCCTGCTCAAGGCCAAGAGGGTAGAGGAGCAGGAGGAGGGAGAGGACGAGGCCGTGGAGGCCGTGGCGGTCGCGGTGGCGGAGCTGCAAACATGAAGAGCGGAGACAACGACAAGGACCCGAGCGACGATCGATACCCGGGTCTATTCTACTTCGTGTCGACGCAAGTACCGGCTGGTCCAGAGAAGGATGAAGGCTTTGAGGAGCCAGCAGCTGTGGGGAAGGTGACCCTACACCCCCTGGACTATTGGGTGATTGATAGTGGCGCTACCTATAGCATGACACCTCGCCCGGACTTGCTCACCGAACTCGAGCCGTCACCGGTGAAGCATGTCACATCGGCTTTGGGGCAGCGAGCAGAGGTGAAAGGCATGGGCAAGGCCATGTTCAAGGGTGCTGATGGGAAGATGGTGGGCCTCAAGAACGTGCTTTGGGTGCCCAGCCTTGCTGCAAACCTGATTTCCGTGCGGCGGTTGGTAAAGGCCGGCATGGACACGAACTCGAAGGGAGCCAAGACCTACACCGCAAGGCTTGGCGATCGAATTCTTTGGGACCTTCATGAGGACAGGGATGTCTACAACGAGATGTGGCAGATCCCAGTGGTCCCTATGCCTAAGGAGAGGCAAGTGGCAGCAAGCATCAGCACCAAGGATGGAGCGGTCGGTAGCGACGATGGCGCGAACGGTCGCGCTAAGGAGAATGAGCTCAAGAAGAGCAAACCTGGAGGGACCAGCAAGTTCAGTGAACCTAAGGAGAGTGGTGCAGCAACCAAGGAGCAGCAAAAGGGTGAGGAGAACCCAGAGGCAGCAGCGGAGGAGGACTACGGAGAGAGTATGTGGGGCGCTATTGCGAGCGCGGCATTCTCCAATCCAACTTCGGCTACGGGGGAGTGTGATTGGCTCACCTTGCATCGGCGCATGGGGCATGTGGCCCTGCCCATCTTGCAGCAGCTAGTGAAGAATGAGATGGTTGCTGGCATACGTGTGAAGGGGGAGCCCGATGAGGTGCTTGGCTGCCCGACGTGCATTCAAGCCAAGTTCACCCGGTTTCCGTTCCCTAGTTCGGAGGCAACGGCAAAGGCACCGCTTGATGAGGTGGTGATGGACGTGGTGGGCCCCCTGAAGCTTGGAGCTGCTGGAGCTGAATATTTTCTCACCATTGTCGACGTCTACACCCGCATGACTTGGGTGTACGTGCTGGCCAAGAAGAGCGACGTGGCTGAAACGTTGAAGACGGATTGGTTCCCGATGGTGGAGCGGCAACAAGACCGTCTAGTCAAGTCAATCCGCACCGATCGAGGGGGAGAGTTCCTGAGCAAGGAGTTTGGGTTGTGGCTGAAGAAGAATGGTATTCGGCACTCCCTCACCATGCCGTACTCCCCTGCAATGAACGGCATCGCCGAGCGAGCGAACTGCACAATCACGGAGGCGGCACGCGGGTTGCTCATTGAAGTCGGGCTACCCGACTATTTCTGGCCTGATGCGGTGCGGAGCGCGTGTGTGGCCAAGAACAGAGCCTTGACTCATGTGGGAGCAGACAAATGGGTGCCCTATGTGGAGTGGCTAGGAAGGAAGCCAAAGGTGGATATGCTTCGGGTGTTCGAGTGCATGTGCATGGCGCTCGTGCCTAAGCATCTTCGGCACAACAAGCTTGGTGCCAAGGCGGTGTGGGCCGTGCACTTGGGCATGGCTCAAAACAGCAAGGGATGGCTTCTTTGGGACCCATTCACCAAGAAGTTCTTGGTGAGCAGGGACTGCAAGTTCATGGAGAACTTCATGTACAATGATTGGAAGGCGGAGAATGAGGCGAAGATAGGCGTGCGGTTTGGGGAGGTGAAGAGTTCCGGTTTGGAGCATGTGGAACTGCCTTTGGAGCTGAGCAGCGGCAGCACAACCACAAGGCAATCCTCCCTTGTGAATGGGGGAGAGGAGTCCAATGATGCAGAGGAAGAAGAGGAGGAGGTGCAGCAAGTGAGCGAGCGTGCACCGTCACTCCCTTCCCGTACTACGAGTGCTCCACGGATTCGAGCCACACCGCAGCAACGCCAAGGCCTTCAAGTCCCTGCAGCTGAGGAGGAAGGAAGGGGGAAGAGGAGAGTTCAACCCCCTAATAGGCTGACCTATGATGCGCCGGGAAAGCAGGGCAAGACAGCCCTGGCCGGAGCGGCAATGATGGTCGGAGACGACGAGGAGAGTGACTACGAGGAGTGTGCCTTCGCGTTCTTCTCTCCGGTGGAGATGCCGGGAGAACCAGCAACTCTCAAGGAGGCTTTAGAGAGTAGTGATGCTGAGGAGTGGAAGAAGGCCATGGAGAGTGAGCTGAAGAGCATTGAGGAGAATGACACGTTTGAATTGGTGGAGCTACCGGAGGGGCGTACGGCGATAACGTCCAAGTGGCTCTTCAAAATCAAGTCGGATGCCGACGGCAAGATCGAGCGCTACAAGTCTAGGCTTGTAGCCAAGGGGTACCAGCAGAAGGAGAAGGTGGACTTCAAGGAGCTGTTTGCCCCTGTGGTGAAGCCGACGACGCTGCGAACCCTATTCGCGGGAGCCGCCATCAAAGGATGGGTAGTAAAGCAAATGGACATCGTAACGGCATTCCTTAACGGCATCCTTGAGGAGGAGATTTTTATGGCGCAGCCAGAGGGGTTTGATGATGGTAGTGGCAGAGTGTGGAAGCTGAAGAAGGCCCTCTATGGGCTGAAGCAGGCCCCTAGGCAATGGTACATGAAGCTGCGCGAAGTGTTGGAGGGGATCGGCTTCACTCCCTCAACGGCCGATCACTCCTTGTTCATGCTTGGCGAGGGGGAGCAGAGGAGTTTCATGGTGGTTTATGTGGATGACATCCTCATTTTCTCACCCTCTTCTGACCTTGTGAAGGAGGTGATGCTGAAGCTTCAAGACAACTTCAAGTGCAAGGCCCTTGGTGACGTGAGCTTCTACCTTGGGCTCCACATCGAACGAGATGTGGAGAAGCGGTGCATGCGGGTGCATCAACGAAATTACCTGGAGGCATTGGCTGCCAACTTTGGGCAGAGTGAAGGCCATGTGGCTACACCCTTTCCCTCTGGGTTCAAGTGTGTGAAGGGACCAGAGGAGGAGAGCGTTGGTGAAGAGGAGAGGCGCCGATTTCACTCGTTGGTGGGCAGCCTCATGTATGCGGCGGTAAACACCCGACCGGACGTCGCGTTTGCTACCGGGCAGCTGGCTAGGGTTGTGCAATGCCCTAATGAGGAGCAGGTAGCAGCTGGAATGAGGGTGGCCAAGTATCTTGGCCAAACACCGACCGTTGGGCTGCAATACTCGGCGGCGGCACAAAGGCGCCAAAAGGGCGCGGATGGTGTTGAACCCGGGCGTTTGTTCCTCACCGCCTACTCGGATGCTTCATATGCATCAGAACCAGAGGACATGACAAGTGTGGGAGGCTTCATATGCTGTGTTGGTGGAGGCCCAACTGCTTGGGAGAGCAAGAAGCAGGTTGACCAAGCTTTGAGCTCGGTGGAGTCCGAGTACATGGCACTCTTCCGTGCCGTACGGGAGATTGTGTGGCAGCGGCGTTTGTTGGCTGAATTGGGGGAGGAGCAGCAAGGACCTACCCCACTGTACTGTGACAGCCAGGGTGTCATTGCTCTTGCTAAGAACCCTGTGTTGCATGGACTCACGAAGCACATGAGGGTGAAGTGGCATTGGACGAGGAGCATGGTAACCGCGGGTGAAGTTGAGTTGCGCTACGTGAAGACCACGGGGCAGCCGGCTGACATGATGACCAAGAGGCTGGTGGAGCAGCAGCATTGGAAGTGTTGCAAGCTGGCTGGGATGGCTCTGAACTGAGAGAGCAACATATCCTAAGGCCAACAATCCGAGGGGGAGTTTGTTGGTGCAACCCTACGGTTTGCACTCGGCTTGTTGTCCGTGTGCGTGAATGTGTGTGTGTATGGAATGGTATGAGGGCATGGGATAATTTATATTTCATGCTTATAATTGTGTGTGAATGTTGAGTCATGATGTCGAGTGTGTGTGTCGAGTCAATAGCGAGTTATCGCTAGACGCGTGTTACGCGGTCGTTTGTGTCTCGCGCGCGGTTTCTATTTTGTCGTGCGCGGTTTCTATTTTGTCCTGTGTCGAACGTTCGGCGTGTCGCAGGTGTGTGCAGCAGACCCATCAAGAACTCAAGGATGAGTTTGTGATGAAGAGCCCGAGCCTTGGTGTCAAGCCTCAAGTGATTTCGAAGCTCGCCAAAAAAGGGTACACCTCAAGATATTGAAGATATTTACATTACTTTGTATAGTGTAACATTTCACTTGGTGTAGGCCCTAGTGAAGGGTAGTTTCGAGACCCTTCGTGGTTGGGGACAGTGTGGCACTGTTCCACATCACTGTACCTCGGCTCTTGGGGTTTGTAGGAGCTGGGAGTCATTCCCAACTCGTAACTCTTCCTATCTTGTGTTCTAAGACTATAGTGGCTGCCATAGTACCGTTCGTTCAAACCGACGCTGTGTCGTCAATTCTTTATCAAATCGTGCAATCTAAATTGCTAATTGTAGACGACGTGAAGACGCTCCAGATCCAATTTGAATCAAGTCATTTGCAGCTGTGAGCAGAAAGCTATCAACGTTTGAAGCCGCTGTGCAGAAATCCGTCTGTGCTCTCTATCTTTCGTTTTAGGCACATTCAAGCCTATTGTGACTATAACACGGGGGATTGGCTGTGCACCACGCTGGGAGCTGCGAGGGCAATGGGGGAGAGGAGAGGAGAAGAACAGAAGGAATGCTGAGGTGGGTTGCAGGTTTCGGTGATATGTACAAGGCTAGGCAACACAAGCAGCACCACACGACTTTATAGACAAGGCATCAAGTAGTAGACATACTATATTGGTACTCTTCTGCTAAAGACTTTTCTCCTGAACTGCAGCTCTCCCTGTCTTCATGGCTAACGGTAAGGTGGGTTGCAGGTCTCAGTGATATGTACAAGGCTAGGCAGCACAAGCAGCACCACACGCAGCACAAGCACAGCCATCATAAGCACCGATTAACCCCTGCACGCACCTCGAAGAACGGTAGCAGCAGCAGCGCCAGCACCATGGCGGCCCGCACGCCCTCTCCCCGCCGGTACCACACCGCCCATCGCGCAGCCGCCCCTCCGCCCTCCTCTCGCACCGCCTCCAGAGGCACCCACCGCCCCGCCATCGCCTCCTGTACCAGATACGCTGCTCTCTCCACCCTTCCCCATGACCACCGCTCCCCCCTGCTCCCGCTGCCCCCGCTTCCCCCGCTTCCCCCTCTTCCCCCTCCGCCTTGCTCTTCCCCGCTGCTGTCACTCGCCTGCGACCCCTGCCCTTCCCGCACTCTCTCATCCCTCTTCCTTTCCGCCGCCCTCTTCCGCCTCTCCCCTCTCTCCGCTCCCCCCACCCTGTGGATTACCGCTTCCCCCTCATCTCCGCCCACGCCCCCCAAATCCCGGGTTTCCCGATGCACAGCGCTTTGCCTGCCGCTGTCTCCTCTCCCTTGGTTTCCCCCGTGCCCTCCCCCGTGCGCTCCCCCTTCCACTCCCCGTTGTCCTCCCCCTTCGTTTCTGTCAGCATTATCCAGCCACTGCACGGATAATACCGCCACCTCCTTCGCGCTCCGTCCTTCCCCACTTCCCCCCCTCTCTACCTCTTCCCAGATCGGTTCCCAGAGCGAATGCCTTCTCATGCTGCTGCTGCTGCTGCTGCCGCCTTCCAGCCCTCTCTCTCCTCCGCCCCCGCGTCTACTCCCGCCATGGCTCCCACCTTCAACTCTACTAGACCGTATGATCTCCTCCTTAATCTCCCCCTTGCCCTCCCCCCTGTCGTCCGCCATGCTTCCCCCTACGCGATCCGCTCTCGCTAGCAGCGGAGCGTCATTCGTGCGCGGAATTTCGTCAAGACAGTCCGCCGCTAGTCAGGTTGGTAGTAGAAAGACGATGATTCGCCGGTTCATTCACGTTGAGAAGGAAAGACAGAGTCGAAACGAACAGCTGATGTGCGAAGAGGAACTGCCGCTGGCGGAGAAGTCAAAGTTGGTTACCACGAGACTGAACGGAGAAGTCACTGAACGACCGTCCGTCACGAAGACTGGGCGAATCACGATCGAGTTTGAGAATCGCGGAGATGGCGCGACGAGACACGAATGATCGAGCGGGAAGCTGAATGGGCCTGCCTTGCCGTTCACGCAATCGGCGCAGACTGTTCCCTGGCGAGCTAGGTGAGCAGTCCAAAGTAAGGTAAACTCATGACGTTGGCTGTGGTTTTTCGACGACGGCATTGAAAACCTCGGTGCAGAACGATTTCACGCAGATCTGTGTGTTTCTGTACGGTTCGGTATGGTTTGGACAAGATGTGGAATCTGTCGGAAGTACGTTGTGGAAGTGGCAGTGTGGTATGCAGAGCTTTGCTGATTTGATGCAGCATGCGCTGCGGATCGTGGATTGGTTGCAAAGTTTCAGGACGAATGATGTATCGAACCAATCACATGCACAGCCCACGACTGATGAGGCAGTTGGTTGGTTTTTAGAGTGATGACTGCTAGCGAAGCAAGTCATTCTGACTGCTAACTGCACATGATGAATTAACCAAACCTATGGACAAATTAGCCAAGCTAAAAACAATATTTCCAAAGTATGTACAGCCTATCCAAGCTGTGAACCGCTATATCTTCAGCATCTATACAACCAAGCCATATACATCCAAGCTATGAACAACCTAACCAACCAACCATGCTCGACCCAGCTACAAACAGCATTGTACTACACTGTGTACTCTACAGCCAGCCAATGTACAATCTAGTGGTATAACCAAGAAAGAACCTTACCATATGCAGTCTACTCGTGTAGGACCTACTATAAAACCTACTAAAATTGAGATATGTTTAACAGACTGACTGTACACCTGATTGGTATATATACAAAGACACCCGAGGGGCGTTGGAGGGTCGTCGCTGACATGCAAATTCAACAATCGATGACCCTCAAACGCCCCAATGTTTCTTCTCCTTCGCCTGCAACCTTCCCCTCCATGCCCCTCCCATCATTGTCTCACTCCCCACGCCTCCCTCCCCACCCATTCACACCTGCTCCTGCTCATCCATCATATGCCTCACTCGGAAAGTCTTCCCCACGTTTCTCCCTCCCCACCCATTCACACCTGCTCCTGCTCCAGTGGTGCCAGCTCATCCATCATATGCTGCACTCGTCTGCATGTCAGGTTCACCAGGGGTTCAATGCCAAGCGCCTTCGCCGCCTTGAAAATCTCCATGAGGCCGTCACCATCAACTTTAGCCATGAAATCCTCCTCCCACTCCTCCCTCCCTGCTTCCCCCTCCATGCCCCTTGCGCAGTACCTGCTCCTGTTCCCATCCTCGATACTGGTGGTTCCACTAGTAGCAACCGTCCTTTCCACCTCCACCTGTCGCTCGCAGAACTGAATAGCCTTCGCCACGCCCTGGCTCGTCGCATCCACTGGGATAACAGGCAGATTGTCGCCTGCTGTCGCCCTGCGATTGCTGCTGCTGCTGCTGCTGCTGCTGCTGCTGCTGCTGCTGCTGCTGCTGCTGCTGCTGCGACTGCTGCTGCCGTTTTGGACGCTTAGAAAACAACCTTCTTTGTCGTTTGAGTCATTGTTGCCGTGTGCAGGAGCGGCGGCGGACTCGCGGTCGCAAGCGATCGCCTGTCGCACGGGGTCCATGTGCATGGCGACTTCCTCTGCGACAGGCAGCATGACGCGATCCGCGCTTAGCAGGCGGACTAACGAACCCGTCATGGTTGGACGAGAGAAGACGAGAACGTAGGAAAGAGGCAAAGATGTGGCGAATAGAAGGAACAGGAAACCGGGAGGTATGTGAAAAGGATATTAGACGATATCAGGAAGGCAGGCAAACGAGCGGCAGACGCAACCAAGAAAGCACGTCAAAGAAGAGGCGAGATAATCAGAACCGAAGAGCCAAGCAATGAGACTAACGAAGACCGGGAGGAAGTATAAGTACGACAAGAAGATGAGGTGAAGGAACCGTAGCCAATACCCATCGAGAGGTGTGAACAGAAGGCGTGATTCTTGCGAGGAGGAGTCTCTCAACCCGCACAAGTTAGCCTGCGGAGCTGCCAACACAAGCTGTCTCCCTCTCTCCTCCTCGCCCTGCGTCGCCCTTGTTGGAAGGAAACGGTGGTGGGGCGGTGGTATGCCCCCAACCCACCGAGGGCACTTCGGTGCCTTCGATCCCTTGGACTAGGGATCGGTGGGGTGGCACCGATTGACTTCGGGAGACTCACCCTTCGGTGCCACGTGGCGGCACCACATTCCAACCTTCAAGTGCAAGGCGAATTCGGTGTGTTCGGTGTGAAATTCGGTGGTCGAATTTCACCCCAACCGAAATGTTACACGCGGCGCATTCGCGACGCGAGTGTAGCGATGTGATGTTACATGTGCGGTTCGATGTAATGCATTTGCTATAAATCGACCTGCCTTGTATGCATGCTTTATACTGAAATCCTGAATCTTCTTGTACATGGTCCATTCGAACCAAAATTCCAGAGAGGTCTATCCTTGCTTCTAAGAGCACTAGCAATCACGTGAACGCCAATATCTCGGCGTATACTTGGGCGATTAACGTGTTTGACGGCTTGTTGGAAAGCCAAGACTGTGCTCTATCGTTTAGTGCAACTTAGAGTTCCTGCAAAGTAGAGGAGACGCCTCTACAACAGTGGTATCAGAGCTGGTCGGTAGAGTCTACGTGCGCGACTTGTAGCAAGCATGATGACGTCAAGCGAAACCTCCGGCACTTCCTTAGGTGGTGTCGTCTCGAATCCCGGCGAACCCTGGACAAACGCGACGGTGTTCGACACGTCGGCGGTTCCGATTTTCACGGGACAAAACTACTCCGCGTGGAAATTTAAGTTCCAAGTGCTCATGATGGAGCGGGGACTTTGGGGTCTCTTCGACGGAACGGAGAAAAAGCCGGTCAACGAGGACGAGATCGCGGCATGGAAGAAGAAGGACCAAAAGGCGTTCGCAGCGTTGATTTCGCGCATCGGCATCAACCTCGTGAGTTCGGTGCGCACGTGCATCAAGCTCGAAGCTTCGGCGCGTGAAGCATGGAAGCGGCTCGAGACGATGCACGTGAACAAGACTCTCCACGGCAAGATCCTAGCCCGAAATGCGTTCTACACGGTGAAGTTGCGCGCGGGCGAATCGATGCACGAGTATGCGACTCGTGTGGAGGAACTCGGGGAAACGTTCATGGACCTCGGTGGAACGGTCACGGAGGAGGATTGGATTCTCACCTTGCTTTGCGGCCTTCCGGAAGAGTGGTCGACGGTGATTACGACACTCGATAGCCACTTGGACGAAGGAAATGGTGGTCGGTCGGCTTCTCCATGAAGAATCGCGACGCCGACAATTCGCTAACGAGAGCGTGGAGACCGCCATGTTCTCCGGAGGGAGCTCCGGAAAGAAGTCCAAGTGGAGCAACGGTGAGGCAAAGAAGTCGTCCGGTGGAAACGGTCGCGGCAAGGGCAACGCATCGAACGGTTCGAGCAAGTGTCATTATTGTCGCAAAGCGGGGCACTTTTGGCGTGAATGTCGTGTCAGAACGTTATAGCATATACTTTTGTGTAGGCTGTAGTGGGGTATCCCATAGGGGGTACAACCCAATTAGGGTTAGTACTTGTACCCACTTCATTCATAGTTCATTCACTCTTGTTTCTTCTCATGGTATCGAGCAGGTTCCCTAGTGGGAACTGATCCTAGGGCCCACCATCGAATTTTTTTTTTCTGCCCGAAGCGCGCTCCGCTTAGGCCCGAGTCGCGCCTCGGATCCTCTCTCTACCGTCGCGGCCTCCCTCGAGCCGCCCTTGCTCGGCCGTCGCCGCCCTTAGCGGCCCGTCGCCACCCTACGCGGCCCGCCCGCCGCCCTTTTGACGCCCGCCCCGGCCACGTGAGCCGCCCGTCCCGTGCGACGCGGCCCCTGCGCCGCCTGTCCCGGCCCGTCGCCACCTGACGCGGCCCGACGCGGCCCGTGCGCCGCCTGTCCCGGCCCGTCGCCGCTCGTCTCGGCCCGTCGCCGCCCGTCGCGGCCCGTGCGCCGCCTCCCCCGGCCCGTCGCCGCTCGTTGTGGCCCGTGCGCCGCCTGTCCCGGCCCGTCGCCGCCTGGCTCGTCGCCGCCCTACCCTACCTGCGGCCCCGCCGCCCTACCTAGCGGCCCCGCCGCCCTACCTAGCGGCCCCGCTGCCTCACTCGGCGGCCCCGCCACCCTACCTGCGGCCCCGCCACCTCGCTCTCGGCCCCGTCACCTGCTGCAGCGCCGCCCGCCACCCTAGCCGCCCGAGCCGTCTCACCCGGCCGAGCAGCTGACCGCCGTGCCGCCCTTCAGCAGCACAACCGAGCCGCCCGACAGCAGAGCAGCCGAGCCGCCCAGCAGCCGAGCCGCCCGGCAGCCGAGCCGCCCTGCAGCCGAGCCGCCCAGCAACCGAGCCGGCCAGCAGCCGAGCCGCCCAGCAGCCGAGCCGCCCAGCAGCCGAGCCGCCCAGCAGCCGAGCCGCCCAGCAGCGGAGCCGCCGACCCGCCGAGCCGCCCAGCAGCTGAGCCGCCGAGCCGCCGCGCCGCCCTCCTTCCGGGCCGCCCGACCTGCCCAGTCTGGTGAGCACAGCGCCTTTTCACTGCACTGCCCTCACCCTACTGTTTGCGCTGCTAGTCGTCTCGGGTCATGGCTACCCCTAGTGTTCTCGTCTTTGACGGTGAGGGTCGGGCCATTGACTTTGAGGTCTGGGTAGATGACCTGCAGCTGTTCTTACAGTGCGATAGGGCAGACGGCCTCTCTCTCTTTGACCTCACCTCTGGCGCCTCCACTGCCCCTGCTGCTGATGCTGACGCCACTGTTCGCTCCCAGTGGGCCACGCGCGACGCTGCTGCACGTCTTGCTGTGCGTCGCCACCTCCCTACCTCCGAGCGTGCGCACTTTAGTCAGTACAAGAGTGCTCAGACCTTGTACGACGCTGTAGTTGCGCGCTACTCCTCCCCTGCCACTGCTGCACTGAGCCGTCTCATGCTACCGTACCTCTTTCCTGACCTTGCTGCCTTTCCCACAGTCGCTGACCTCATTACGCACCTCCGCACTAGTGACACTCGCTACCGCGCTGCACTCCCTCCTGACTTCTGCGCCAAGAACCCCCCCCCCATGTACATCACTCTTTACTACATAGTCACTCGCCTTCCTGACTCCCTTCGCGTAGTCAGGGACCACTTTCTCTCTGTCTGTCCCACCACTCTCACTGTTGACCTCCTCGAGAAGTCCCTCCTAGCGGCCGAGAAGAGCATAGTCGCTGTAGGGGCCTCTCGTGGTGACCCGCGCACCCCCATCTTTGAGGGGTGTTCCCCCTCCCCCCTTCTGCCCTCTGTTGCCTCTGCTGCTGCGGCCGACCTCCTTGGTCTTGAGTCGGTCGGTGTGGCGTCTGCCCCTAGCGGGAGACGCCGCTCTGGCAAGGGCAAGGGGGGCAAGGGCGCTGGAGGAGCGAGCGGGGGCGGTGGAGGTGGAGGTGGCGGCAGTGGGGGGAGTGGGGGTGGCGATGGGAGTGGAGGTGGGGGTGGAGGGTTTGGTGGCGGCAGTGGAGGCGGAGGTGGCGGCGGCGGTGGCGGTGGGAGCGGAGGTGGCGGAGGAGGCGGCGGTGGAGGCGGAGGCGGAGGCGGCGGCAGTAGCGGAGGCGGCGGAGGCGGCGGAGGCGGCGGGGGTGGCGGTGGTGCTGGTCGCGGGTCTTCGCAGAGGAGTGGCTCCGGTGGTGGCTCGCGCCAGCAGCAGCAGCGTGGTCGTGACACCCTGTCCCCTCAGCAGCTTCGTGAGTGGTACACTGCGCGTCAGCGGGGTGGGGGTTTTGGTCCGTGCTCCTACGTTTTGCGCACCTGCGACCGTGCGGGTGAGCAGTGTGGGGGTGCCCACCCCACCCAGCGCTGCTTTGGCCGCCTGACGGACGCGTGGCGTCACCAGTTCCCGGAGGCCTCAGAGATCCCTCGCTGGGGCGAGCTGTCCAGGGCGGGTGTTGCCATCTATGATCTTGACTTTGATGCTATTCTCTCTGCCATGTATGCTGTGTCTATTAGTGATGAGGGTGACTGTTACCGGTGTTTCCCGCCCGATCCGGGCATTGAGACTGCTGCGCTAGGTCCTGGTGAGGCTGCTGCCCTAGGTGCTTGCGACGCTGCTGCTCTAGGTGCCCGTGTGTCTGCGTCCTCAGGTACTGGTGAGTCTGCGCTCTCAGGTACTACGTCGGCTTCGGCCTCCCTCACCTTCACCCTTGACTCTGGGGCGTCTCGCTCCTTCTTTCGGGACTGCACCACACTCACACCGCTGAGTCGGCCGGTTGCAGTGTCTCTGGCTGACCCCTCTGGGGGTCCTGTCCTGTCTCGCTTCTCCACAGTCCTCCCGTGTCCGGCGGCTCCCTCTGGCACCCTGTCTGGTCTCTACCTCCCCTCGTTCTCTACGAACCTGGTGAGTGGTGCTGACCTCCAGGATGCGGGTGTACACCAGTTCACTCCTGCGCGTCAGCGGGTGACGCACTGTACAGAGGCTAGCACAGGCCGACACCTGGCTACGTTTACCCGTC